CGCACGCTTAAGAGATAACCTGAAGTTTCAGTGATTGGAAACCACGTGAGAATTAAAAACATTATATCAAGATAAAATTTCACATCTCAAACAATCAACGATTTAATTGTTTCGTTATTTTTTAATGATCTCTAACGAAGCAAAATAGAAACAATGTCGTGAAAGTTTCAATATCATGTAAGTTCCCTTTTTCAGTTAAAAAAATGTCAATTGAGGTTTCAATCCAAGCACCTTTGGAGTCGAGAGCGGAGAACTTATCACTGTGCTATCGTTACGTTACACATGATGAAGTGAAAATTTAGAAATCTTATTAAGTATGTAGTTTACTCCGTCTATTGAACATATTTTGTATGTGTGTTTGTGTGGAATGCAAAACATGTGTCAAGAAAAACAAAGATGACGATGATGTGGTCAGTATATTAATGACTGATTATACTAAAATGCTAAAAATGCAAATATCTCCATATTAACAAGCTCTGCACACCTATTCTTACACTAAAAATCAACCAAATAATATACATTACACAAGTCTGATCTTTTAATGAGGGAACAAAGTATCTATTCGCTAGTTTTTTTTTTCTGTAAGTGTACGTTGAATGTCGTACGACAGATAACCTGTTTTACACTGTAAGATGACGCCTGCAGTATGGGTTTCACATTTTCTATGAATAATGTATAATCGTTACAAAAGCTCATCTTGGAATAAAAAAATTATAACTGGTTAGTCATATATCATTCAATGAAAAATTAACAAGTTCATTGTAACATTTTACTGCGTTGTGATGATATTATGCTCAGGTGTTGCCGGTCTCTTTCACATACGTTGTATATACGTTACCTTTCCCGTGATACCCAATGATAGCATTTAAGAATAATGAAATAAAATCAGTTAAACGGAAGTGAAGACCGAAATTCATTACCACAATTTACAAAATACAATGCCCAACAATGTTTGTGCCCATTCCTAATCGCTTCTATAAATGCGGTCGTGCTATGTACGGAACGGTATACTGAGGTTTTGTACACTGTATCGGTTTCTTGTGAACACATGTTTACCGTGTCTTTATTTCATGGTATTTATTAATGAATGTCCGTTATTGTCTGTGCAACAAGTTTATCTATATGAAAATGCTTGATTACAAAAGATTCTGTCTTTTATTCGTTTATTTAACTTTTTATCATTTGTAAATTGCATCCTGTCGATATAATGTTTGATCTTGGGCCCCTTAGTATGAATGTCAATGTTATATAATTCAGATTGGTCTATAAATAGGCAATCATGACAGGTACTTGTTTTCAGCTTATACAAAAAAAAAATTCTCGGACAGTGGAAGAAAGTCGGTATGTATCCAGTTTCGAATAAAATTTAATAATGCAATTTATATCAAATGATGTCATATGTGGAAATTAAGAGAGAGAGAGACATAGAGAGACAGAGAGAAAGAGAGACAGAGAGAGAAACAGAGGGCCAAATAGCTAGACAAAGGTTGACACAGTCGGAGGAAGACGAACTGAGAGACAGATAGTCTAACGGACAGACGGACATAAAGGCACACAATACATGCAAATGGAGACAGGTGAATACGCAGACGGACAAACATTTACATAAAGACATCCAGACAAACATAAGACGGACGGGTTGGCGAACTGACGAACGGATACATTGACATCCGCAGATCTATAATCTTCGAAGCGTCATCAATTATTCTATACCGAATTAGCGTTAACAACTCACAAGATCGTCCTTCTTTTCCTCCACAATCCGACATTGGGACCAATTAGAAAATTAAATCCGACAACAAGTATGATATTCGGCCTTTCAAATTTCCCTTCTTAAACTTCGAGATATACAAATTGCCTACTACTATCGAATTGGTGACAGAAAAATACCAATTTGCACGTTAGATTCAGAACTTGATCAAGCCCTCTAAATCAAGACTTATTTCATGCTAATTTGATTAATTATGGAAATTGGCAGTGTCGACATCATGCTGAAGATGCTTCTCACTTCATTTTTGTCTGTAATAAATTAAGTATAAAATTGTGTCGTGAGCTAAATGATTTCATTCCGTTGGACTTGCACCTTCTACTATTTGGAAATCATGAGTTATCAAAACAAGAAAATGAAATTATTTGCCTAATCCACTCAACAGTATATCAAAGATACTAGTAGATTTTGTTTCTTCCTCGCAATCATCTTTTTTCTTTCTTTCGTTTTACCTATTTTTCTCTCTCCTGTCTCAAGACTGCTCAGTAGAACAAACTATATGTAACGTATAAATTTTGAAGTGATTTGAAATTGTAATGTCTTCTAGTTCTAGCGGCAAATGTGTGTGATCTACGTTATAAAAGACGGATAAACAAAGGACACGGAGAAAGAAAACGCCGGTACGGGATGTGATAGATTTCGATGTATGAAAAGTGATAAGTTTCATTGTGATTGCCGCCGGAGTCGGTTTAAACTTAATTATTATTTCTTATCAGTTTAAATACTAGCACTGATATATATATATATAAATAAATGTATCAGTGCTAGTATTAAAATTGATAAGACATAATTAAGTTTAAATAAGACTACATCCATATATACTGCAGACATTATATAATACATAACTACTACCGGTTATATATAACTGTCCATCATGTGTTGGTGTATATTGATCAATATTATTGGAAAAGGGCTGAATACCAGTTTGATAACTGGTGCCCAATCTCACTGTATATATTTGATATAAACAGAATATGTTTAAAACGAAAGTCTAGACACCAAAGGCCAGGTATTCGCATTATTTTGCGATATCAGGTTTACTTTGGCCGATCGTTTGGGCAAAAAAAAATTACGCACTTTGAAATAAAATCACACTACGTTAATTTTGAGAGCAAATTCAACGCACTTTGAAATATGGCTTCAAATTTATTAATAATGGGAACACTCAACTCACTTTGGATTTTTTTTAAAACGAGTTATAACATATTATGTAGCAACCACTTCGAAATAATTACACAAATTGAGATTTTTTTTTCTAATCGTGATAAAAACTGGACTAACTCAACGCACGTGGAAAATATCTCACATTGCGTTAAATATTGGACCCAATCAACGCACTTTTTATTTTTATGGTGGGTTTGTAACGGGACTTGTGTAACGGTCTCTGTTACAATTACGAACTTATTGCCTGTGATAATTAACATTTTTATTTTTAAAAATCAGATCACTCGTTTAAATCTTTCAGTGAGAAATGTATTTATTTTGATTTAAACAATAGAAGCGTCACATGGTCTGACATACTCACGTCGATTTTAACAACATTAGGAAAAAAACAACTATGCATGTATCACTCACAAGCACGGGGTCAAGGAAAGACGCACACGTGTATCGCCTACCCGGGGAGGTTGGTCACTAACTTTAGATAACAAGCATGTGCGGATAATATCATGTTTATGACAAGTTTCACCTAGAAGAGCTACGTTTATATAATCAACTATCAATACACGAGGAGTTTCATCAAGTGCAATCTCTATGGATTTACGCAATCGTTATGTCTATATACAGTACAAAGAAGATATGAGGAGCTATTGAAAAAAAATCAATATAAACGGTCTCACCTAACGAAAATTCTAGGTAAAAAAGAAGCTGAGCAGAAATCAAATTTGAAATATAAACAACAACACCTCCACCCTGTGAATGTTCGTGATCTTTCCGGCAAGGATTACTATTAAAACCAAAAGGTTTTTGTCAGAGATACTGACTGTTGTCTAGATGAGATCCGTGATACTTGCTATGTGAAATTCGTCAGCAATGTTTTCAAGGTAAGTCAACTTACTTCTTAGAATGCTTATGCTTAAATTAATTTGAAAAAAAAATAATCTTGAATACTGGTGATGCACTTGAGTGGTCACGGTGTGTACCGTGCACAAAAAAATGCCGACCACTACCGTCGGCCCTATTGGACAAGTGTATTTGCACGTGCGTGTCTTATGCCTACAGTCATCCAACCATGAAAATCATTGATACGGGTTATGTTGTTGTAGCGGCTGTTTCCCTTTACGCCAACTCTGCAGAATATCAAAGGGATTATTTTTCTATTGTTCAAGATAATTGAGGGGCCCCAAGAAGGGGTACTTGGGGTGGTATACAGGTAAACTCAGGTAAATATATCCGATAAATACCTGTAATAGTTTTTAAGGTAAGTAATAAGAAATTCAGACATAATATAAACTTAATACATTTTATTAATATGACATTAATGATAGACCATATGAAGATTACAATTAATAAACAATAATAAGCATATTATCATTTAAATTAAGCACAGAAATCACTTTTTTATTTTTAGTTTTATAATGTAGCACTAAATTCAACATATACATACTAAACTAGATTTTATTAATTGATTTTCAATTTTCAAAATTTGATATACAAGCATTATTTTCATAAATTAAATACCTAACAGCACTAATTATTAGAATGTTCATAAACACGTATGTAGCACTAATTAATATTCACATAAAGCACAGAGTCTATTTATCCAAGATGAAGTAGCTGTGATGCTGAATCAGCGTAGGTCATCTGGTCAATGGTTCCGTTTCCGTATCTTTCTTTGAGTGTTGTAAGGCGGGGGTCAATGTTGCAGTACTTCTTCGCACGCGGTCGGGTGATTCCTCCAGCTTCTCTCTGCATTCTGTTGATGACGTCGGCATTGTCTATTTCCTTGAATGTCTGTATGATGGCAAATATATTCGGATGAGCGTGTTTCATCTTCTTCTTTAGTTTGCCGTGCCAGGCTTCTAGGTTGTTTGTTGTTCGTGGTCCATCTGTTTGGAAGTGATTCCACAACGGTCTGTCTCCTTCCACCCACTGCTCTATAACATAGTCTGTGAAAGGTGCTGTGTTCTGTGGTACTTCAGCGTCTTCTAGATCTTCTAGTGTCTGTAACCACACGTCTTCTATGCAGTCCATGGGTACCAGTGGTAGAACAGCTGCACGGCGGATAAGGGTCCTAACATCTTCGTTGTCCCGGTATAGAGTTTGCAGTCCAGTTGTCTGTGCTTTTTTCCATACACTCTGGGTGAAATGGAAAAAAACAGCCTTTCATGGTGATTCCTGGAAATGTCTGGCGAATGGCGTTGTGTACTGCTACTTCAAAGTCGGCGAATGCATGGGTTGGGGCGAAAGGCAGGTACAGTTGAGTCATGTGTTCCTTGAATAGGGTAAACAGTCGAGTGTAGATTCTTTGACTCTTTCCTGGTAGTAGCGCAAATACGACTGGCGTCATCCTTCCTTCAATAACCACATGGATGCTGTACATCTGATGAAACAAGCTCGGGCACGTGTAAAATGTTCCATCACAGTAGAATGTGTCGGCAGTTGAGAGATATCGTAGGTCCTCCGTAGTGGCGAAGGCTATAATTCGGTTCTGCTGGTCTCCGTCGTCAAAAAGAAGAAATCTGTCTCCGGTTGATGTTTCTGTCCACTTCCCTTCCAGTCTGATGTCAGAAAGAGTCTTTGGTAGCGCTGGGGTTTCCTTTCGGCGGGCTCTGTAGAGTGACGACTTGGCTGTATTGAAGGTAGGCAGTCGCTGTACCACCGCTTTGCAGTTTTCATCCCATTCTTCATCTCGGAGCTTGCGGAGTTCTTCTTCGTATATTGCTGGTATGGGTCTGACTTCTTCAAGACATCTCTTGGTGATGCTGTTTCTGATCTGCTGTGCCACAACTTCTGCATGATCTGCTGGATGGTTGTGTTCCTGTCTTCCAAAAGCAACTGGTATGTTGTTAAGGGCAGAGAGGGATCCTCGACAAGATTTTTCACCATTTCTGCGTATGATTCTGTAGATGAAACCATTATAGGCTAAATTCTGGCCCCTTTTCTTGTTAATTACGAACTTCAAATTCAGCTGTGCGTTTGCCATGTTACTTGATATGAGTGTTTCACTATGAATATAAAGTATGATGCAGTCGCTGTATTTATACAGAGTGCAGTTGGCTTGGAGTGTTCAGTGTGATAAGTTATAATGTTTTTTTTCTATTGTTAAATAATATAATTTTCAAATAATTTTTTTTTTATTGAACAATATAAATTTCAAATAGTTCTTTTTTCTCCTTAAATTTAAATAATATAGCATTTAAAAAATCTTCCTTTTTCCTAACATTTCAATTTAATTCTCAATTCAAAATCTGAAAATATCCCCATTTATGGCTAAATATTATCAAGTCACAGGTAACTACTCCACAGTAACTGTTCCCCAGAGCCCCCATGAGGTACCCCAATTTTGTTGACTGAAATGGTAAAAACAGCACCAACTGCCATATGTGTTTTTAAGAAAGTTGGCGTTAAGGGAACACACCGGGCCGACGGACTCAAGGTAACGGTCAGTTTAACAATTTATTTTTAAACACAGGGAATCAACCAAAACACATATATAACTACGATGTTCACAATTTTAGGGAGATATGCGCGTACTTATAGACTTACGGAGGACAAACAATTGAATATATATATATATATATAAATCGGATAGATTTACATAAATATTTCAATAGATCAATATCCTAAGTGTTAATTAAGGATTGTAATTTAATTACATTTGCTCTAGTACAATACTTTTCTCCGAGACAAGACTGTCTTTTACTGGAAAATTTAGTACATTCTAATATTTAGTGAACGTCGGCTCCAATCTTCCCGTCGTTACAATACGTGCAAATTCTATCGTTTTTATCGCTCCAACCTCCTGTTTCAGTTACATATTTATTATCAATTGTTCTAAATTTACACACTGTAATCCGATCTCTGTCATCAAGCTGTTCATATTCTAATTTGTTTTTAAATATCCCGTATTATCCAGACTTAGAGGAATTAAAACATCACTTTTCCACTGGTGAATGTACTGATCATTAAAAATCTGTTAAACTTTAACCACTCATATTCACAGTACTTTGCATATCCTATATGTAACTTAGACCACATTCATATAGAATGTTACTCATGTCGGCCCTGGACTTTTATTACAGCTGTGGTTAATTCTATTTATAAAGTATTGTACAATATATACGAGAACTTACTACCGTTTGACTGTAGGATTCTAGACCAAAAACTAATCATACAGGCATTTATAAATTTAAAAGACAAGAAACTCCCAGTTCTCCGTAGGATTCTAGACCAAAAACTAATCATACAGACTTTCGTAAATTTACAAGATAAGAAACTCACAGTTCTCCGTATACCATATAACTATCTGTAATTCTTTTCAAATTTAGTTAAAATATTTTCTCACTGAAAAGTAAAAAACTAAAAGGAAGGAGAGGACAGTAGAACACAAAAGATGAATACTAAATGATAAAAGACAGAGTTGTTTGAGGACACGTTAAGACGTTTCTGCTTTAAAACAGAGATGTTAAGTTAAACATAATTATTATATAATGAGAACAGACAGTTCAACGTGATCCAAAATAATTTTTAGCAATTAAATCAACGTGTCCTTGATTTACTTTATTTTGCTGTTTTATCAAACATTAATATCGATATTTTGAAACATTTTTCATTAAAAATCATTCGTTTCAAGTACTGTAGTATTGAACAAAGTATTGATAGTATTGTACTGAAGTACTTCACCAATCGAATTCCTTAAATTTATGCACCAAGCTCTCTGATTGGCAGAGCCAAGTCTAGATCGATTGTGGGTGGAGCCAGGTGAAAAAATACTGTGCAGACATCGGCATTTTACAAACACTCGACTGTCGCGAGAGGTTAATTGGAAGAGTCCAAGTCACAGGTGGCTTCAGATCAGACCTAATTGGGTTGTCCCATTTGTTTCGTTCTACACCCAATGAAACCTTGCTTTTCCATCGATGGTACAACGAGAAAACGAAAGTTACTCAGTACTAAACTAATTTACGTACAAAATATATATCAACAGGTTAGAGCACTGGGACCGGAGAATTCATAACATCTTAACAGTGAATATAGTCATATAGTCATTCTGTACTAGTTTTATTTATTTTTTTTTTGAAAGTGGGGGGGGGGGGGGGGGGGGATTCTGTGGTCCCATATATTTGGACGGAATATCTAGAGCATTTACTACTGCAAGTTCCAGAAATTCTGACACAAGTCGGGTATTTGCCCGAAGCCTCTGTCTCATGACATTGAATACATATTCAGTTACGTTGTATTCCGGGGAATAAGGCGGCTGAAAAACCAGGGACACGCCATATTCTTTCAGCATATTTCTTAAAATGCGCTCTCCCTGTCTATGGTGATGGAATCCACAATTATCCATCACAACCACATCGCCTTGTACAAAAACAGGATTCCCCATATCGTTCGTATCGGACATAATTTCGTCGAAGAAAATTTTGCGTACTGTTGCCGTCGTTGGACATTTTTCCAGCGATTACTTAGTAATTGTTATGTAACTGATAGTGTACATTAACTCCGCCTACCGGAACAAATTGGGTGTCAGATCAACTATTCAGGTTGTCTAAACTCCGCCCCCGACCAATCACAGAGGTCGTTGTATACTTGACTCGATTATTTGAATACTTCAATACAATAGTATCACTACTTTGTTCAATACTATAGTAAGTGTGTCGTTCACACCTTCCCTTCATCGGTAGTAAGGTCGAGGTTATCTTGATATAAAAACGATATAGAAAGTTGTGTCTCCTCGGTATTACATATTTGTATGGTCAGTCACTCGTAGACAATGTCAAGGCTGGCAGATATGTCTTCCATCTTTTCCTCGAAGACTTCATCAAATTTTTCATTCTGTGCTACAGTGAATTTGGTTTTCCAATCACCAACAATTCCTGAATTTCAAAAGAAAAAGAAAAAAGAAAGAAAAAAAGTCAGAAGTAGAAAATATTGACCAACTGACATGTAGATTTTCTTTTTATTTATTTTCTTATTTTTTAAAAAAAAAAAATTTAACTATCGTTTTTCTGTTTCTCCCATACTTCGCAGGGACCGTCCGGTTTTTACACTGGGTCGTGATCTTTCTGTTAGGAGAACAGACCCATGTAGGATTCTATTATTCTTATATCATACTGATACGGTACCCTAAAACAACACGAAAATTCGTAGAACAAATGAAATTTGGTGTTTCACAATCACAAACATATCCCAAGAACTATGAGATTTTTTTATCACAAGTATATGAAAAACAACGTGAGAGACAGACAGACACAGACAGACAGACATGTAAGAGCAGACTGACGGACGGACAGCCTGACAGACAGACAGAAAGAGTCATTACCTTTTTCAAGCAATTCACAAAAAGGACGGTATTGTAGGAAAATATACGTTTTAATGAATTACCTTTTCTATATATGGGCATTCTCCCGTTATCTCCAAGGTGTTTCCATCTATCACTCTCTCCAAGTCTTGTCGCATGTTCTTTCTTAAGATTTTCAAATCCGACAGCTTCTTCAACCTTTTTCAAAAATCTTTCCTCGTCGTTGACTTCTAAAAACTTTGCTATCTGCACAATATTCGTATGGAGATTCTACGTAAAATAAAAATAATTTTTAAAGATCACGACAAGTCTCAAACAATGTTATGGCCATGACTGGAACTATGCAACTCTAAAAGTAATATATTACATACCAGTCAATCATATGATTAATAATTATTTTACGTGTGTCAATTTCACTGCTCTCCATTCAATATAAAAATGACGATTTTATTTCAAAAGATAATATTGAAAAGAAATTTGATTTATGTATTTGAAGCATACTTTTAGCACTGATGGTCGATGGGTAACGGCAAGGGAGGCTACTCATTATAGTACACGACAATCTCCTTACAGAGTTTTCGTTCGTAACTCAGCATTATGTACCTGTTAGCGCAGCAATCTTTTCACTGGACACCAGGTAATGCTAAATACATTGAAAATCCGATATTTGACTGATTGATTAATAACACACCATGTTTACTGCAAAAATTAAAACTAGGAACACTTGAACTTCGTGAATCATTCCATACTTTGATCAGGACACCAACTGAAGTATGCCAATATCCGTCCTTACTCCCCATTCCAATAAAGACAGATTGGCTGGTATTCTTATAATAACGATATTTTGAAACATTTTTCATTAAAAATCATTCGTTTCAAGTACTGTAGTATTGAACAAAGTATTGATAGTATTGTACTGAAGTACTTCACCAATCGAATTCCTTAAATTTATGCACCAAGCTCTCTGATTGGCAGAGCCAAGTCTAGATCGATTGTGGGTGGAGCCAGGTGAAAAAATACTGTGCAGACATCGGCATTTTACAAACACTCGACTGTCGCGAGAGGTTAATTGGAAGAGTCCAAGTCACAGGTGGCTTCAGATCAGACCTAATTGGGTTGTCCCATTTGTTTCGTTCTACACCCAATGAAACCTTGCTTTTCCATCGATGGTACAACGAGAAAACGAAAGTTACTCAGTACTAAACTAATTTACGTACAAAATATATATCAACAGGTTAGAGCACTGGGACCGGAGAATTCATAACATCTTAACAGTGAATATAGTCATATAGTCATTCTGTACTAGTTTTATTTATTTTTTTTTTGAAAGTGGGGGGGGGGGGGGGGGGGGGGGGGGGGGGGGAACATGTGGTCCCATATATTTGGACGGAATATCTAGAGCATTTACTACTGCAAGTTCCAGAAATTCTGACACAAGTCGGGTATTTGCCCGAAGCCTCTGTCTCATGACATTGAATACATATTCAGTTACGTTGTATTCCGGGGAATAAGGCGGCTGAAAAACCAGGGACACGCCATATTCTTTCAGCATATTTCTTAAAATGCGCTCTCCCTGTCTATGGTGATGGAATCCACAATTATCCATCACAACCACATCGCCTTGTACAAAAACAGGATTCCCCATATCGTTCGTATCGGACATAATTTCGTCGAAGAAAATTTTGCGTACTGTTGCCGTCGTTGGACATTTTTCCAGCGATTACTTAGTAATTGTTATGTAACTGATAGTGTACATTAACTCCGCCTACCGGAACAAATTGGGTGTCAGATCAACTATTCAGGTTGTCTAAACTCCGCCCCCGACCAATCACAGAGGTCGTTGTATACTTGACTCGATTATTTGAATACTTCAATACAATAGTATCACTACTTTGTTCAATACTATAGTAAGTGTGTCGTTCACACCTTCCCTTCATCGGTAGTAAGGTCGAGGTTATCTTGATATAAAAACGATATAGAAAGTTGTGTCTCCTCGGTATTACATATTTGTATGGTCAGTCACTCGTAGACAATGTCAAGGCTGGCAGATATGTCTTCCATCTTTTCCTCGAAGACTTCATCAAATTTTTCATTCTGTGCTACAGTGAATTTGGTTTTCCAATCACCAACAATTCCTGAATTTCAAAAGAAAAAGAAAAAAGAAAGAAAAAAAGTCAGAAGTAGAAAATATTGACCAACTGACATGTAGATTTTCTTTTTATTTATTTTCTTATTTTTTAAAAAAAAAAAAAATTAACTATCGTTTTTCTGTTTCTCCCATACTTCGCAGGGACCGTCCGGTTTTTACACTGGGTCGTGATCTTTCTGTTAGGAGAACAGACCCATGTAGGATTCTATTATTCTTATATCATACTGATACGGTACCCTAAAACAACACGAAAATTCGTAGAACAAATGAAATTTGGTGTTTCACAATCACAAACATATCCCAAGAACTATGAGATTTTTTTATCACAAGTATATGAAAAACAACGTGAGAGACAGACAGACACAGACAGACAGACATGTAAGAGCAGACTGACGGACGGACAGCCTGACAGACAGACAGAAAGAGTCATTACCTTTTTCAAGCAATTCACAAAAAGGACGGTATTGTAGGAAAATATACGTTTTAATGAATTACCTTTTCTATATATGGGCATTCTCCCGTTATCTCCAAGGTGTTTCCATCTATCACTCTCTCCAAGTCTTGTCGCATGTTCTTTCTTAAGATTTTCAAATCCGACAGCTTCTTCAACCTTTTTCAAAAATCTTTCCTCGTCGTTGACTTCTAAAAACTTTGCTATCTGCACAATATTCGTATGGAGATTCTACGTAAAATAAAAATAATTTTTAAAGATCACGACAAGTCTCAAACAATGTTATGGCCATGACTGGAACTATGCAACTCTAAAAGTAATATATTACATACCAGTCAATCATATGATTAATAATTATTTTACGTGTGTCAATTTCACTGCTCTCCATTCAATATAAAAATGACGATTTTATTTCAAAAGATAATATTGAAAAGAAATTTGATTTATGTATTTGAAGCATACTTTTAGCACTGATGGTCGATGGGTAACGGCAAGGGAGGCTACTCATTATAGTACACGACAATCTCCTTACAGAGTTTTCGTTCGTAACTCAGCATTATGTACCTGTTAGCGCAGCAATCTTTTCACTGGACACCAGGTAATGCTAAATACATTGAAAATCCGATATTTGACTGATTGATTAATAACACACCATGTTTACTGCAAAAATTAAAACTAGGAACACTTGAACTTCGTGAATCATTCCATACTTTGATCAGGACACCAACTGAAGTATGCCAATATCCGTCCTTACTCCCCATTCCAATAAAGACAGATTGGCTGGTATTCTTATAATAACGAAATTTTGTTTGTTTGTTTTACCTTTTTCATATCTTCAAATTTTAGAAACAATATTTTAAGATCCGGATTAGTCAGCCTCGCAGTATTCCATTCCTTTGTATGGGTAAACCAGGACCCATCATAACCTAAAACTATAAAGCATATAAAATATATTTATATATATAAGCATATTTATTTGCTTTTTATCTAATTATTTATTTTGAACCTTTTTATCGTAATGAATAATGACAAAAAAAGGTATTGATGGCAAATAATGTCGAGTCTGAAGTATTTGTACATCGTTGTGTATGATTAAAGATAAACTTACATTCTTCCGATAGGAATGCGTTGAGAAATCCGTCGAAGTTACCAGTGTAACTAGCATTTTGAAGTTTACTCTGGAAGATATGAGAGGAGCAGGCAACGTCCTTTGGATTTCGCACCAAGTAGATTATTTTAAGTTGTCCATCCTTTGCCATCTTAGGAATAAATTGATAATTCAAGTGAGTATGGAACATCCTTGGAAATTTCATGTTGTCAATAACTCTAAGATCCTGGTGCTCAATCATCTCCGGAGTTCCGGAATATTGAATAATTCCCATTTGTAACATCCTGGCCGTGTTAAACAACCAATGTGTACCTTCAATATATGATATCGTATTATTACTGTCTATAACGGTTTTGTTGGAGTGATTTAAGCACCATGTTACATGTTGAAGATTGGGAAGGAAAATTGTCCGAAGTGAAAGATACATAAATATTGAAAATGTAAATAACAATAAACTGTTTATACAAATGTGATAATATTCGTGTAAGATTTACTTTAGAAATAAGATAATCAGCGAATAATGAAACAGTAAATTAAAATCTCAAGAAATCCATCTCACGTGTATGTTAACATTATGTCAGCCTTGGAATATGATACCGTTATCGAGTCCTAATCCGGAAACCTTTAGTCTAAACACTGATGAGGATGCCGGACAGTTAACTTGACACTGATCCTTTCAAGAACTCGTAAAGAACTTAAAAATGTTCCGAGATATATTAGATTTTGAGGCTTTAGAAATTAGCGCGTGTTGTGACCAAACATGGACATGTACGCGTTCATTTTTCCGTGTTTGTATTACTATTATCATCACAAGCGCACTAGTGGTATTTGCAAGTATTTATCAATATTATTTTATTTAAAATGACACATTGTCTAAGAAATGTTCATTTTTCATGTGTCCGTATATTCGGGTCATGTGACACGGTCGGGGTGAAAAAAAAATTACTCTGTGCTAGGAAAGGATTATGGTAAATGTCTTGGTATTCACCAGTTTCACGGTAAAAAAATAGATTAGGGAAAAAGATATGAAAACAGAACGAAAATAAATAGATAAATAAAAAGAGTTTCGTCTGAGCTTTGAACACTCTTACCATAATCGAGAGTGACAGAGCGGTTAATTGTTTTAAAAAAGCAAGAAGAAAATACCAACATTTCAAAACTATGAAAATACGGCACCGTTAATTTATCGACTATTTGCTCTACCAAATATTGGCAGATAACCTATATTTGATCCGACAGGAAAATGTAAACGATAAACTTATCGCAGGTCTAGTAAACAATAAGGGACAATTTGTATTCAAGCGTGTGTTCAGAAGAATATTCTGGACTCGTTTTACAACTAATGGTATAATAATTCCATTATTTGATTTGAATTAAACGAATATTTGTACGCGTGAGACTTAAGTTTGTCGGCATAAAAAATATAGAACATGCATGACGTATTAAGATGTGGGCTTGCTTTTGAATATTTTGATTACTTAGATAAAGAAGTATTTATAAAAAAAAAAATTGTTTTGATCGGTAATAAAAAAAAGAAATACTAATAAAGAGAAACAACCAGGCCATATTAGAAATATCACGTGTTCATATATATATAAAAAAAAAAAACCGGTTTCATCGAACGAAATTTGAGTTATTTTTTATTCAGCTGATAATTCGTATCGCTTTGATGAATATTCTAATCAGCACAGCTTGGGTAGAAATGAACTCACAAGTGAACCAGCAGTATTACTGAACCAAAATCAATATATGGATCATGTCATTGTAATTTGAATACTAACTTGAATTTAAATTATGTATTAACACGCTGTCTTCCTAATCTACTCTCATCTTATATGGCGACAGAAGTCTGGCGGTATCGTGGCGAAATGTTGTTACATAACTTGATCTTTCGGAAAATAACCTACATGTGCATATTGTGTATTAGCATGCACACTCGGCACGTCCCTGTATTACCAAGTCGACCTAAACATCAGGGAAAAATGTTATTTGGCAATCCGTGGTCTCGGTTAAGTAATCCGTGGCCTCTGTATAAGTAATCTGTGGCCTCGGTATAAGTAATCTGTGGCCTCGGTATAAGTAATCCGTGGCCTCTGTTTAAATAATCCGTGGGCTCGGTTTAAATAATCCGTGGGCTCGGTTTAAATACAACCTTTATTAAACAATTGTACAATTTATAAATACGTGGCCTCTGTTCCTCCGCACAAATGCAGTAAACTTTGCATATTTCCGGTCTCAGTTTAAATAATCCGTGAAACACCGTTTAAATACATCCATACGCTACACATTAAATAACGTTTGTTGGTCTCGCTTTAGTTAATAATCCGTTTCAGTTTAAATAATATCACTTGATACGCACAAATTTAAATAATCCGTGGTCTCAGGATTAAATAATCAAACGTCTGTTTCACATATTTAAATAATCACGTGAAAGTTACGGTTTAAATAATACCCTTGTGACGTCACGGTTTAAATAATCCGATTTGATGTGAGAGCGGTTTATTCAATAATGTTTTTCGGTTTTTGCCGTAAAGCATAAAAACTATAAAACTTTTTTTTTATATATATTTACAATTTATATAATACCAAAAGAATCTATAAATGGCATGTTTTATTTAACTGAAATAATGGTTTACCTAACGGACTTGGCAACAAGTGTGCAACACGACACGTCTTTAAATTATCAAAAGAAGATAGTTATCAGTATAGTTGGACGTCTTTTGTAGCTTTCATTGTCACGGGTTTGTGGCTACTCCACATGATCTAAACTAGTGAGATGTAAACTGTAATATGGAGCTACTATTTTAATACTGAGGTAAATTTTTATTATGGAGGAGCATGATTTTACAGTAAAGCAGTCTTTTAGAATTACTGATCAATTTACGTAATGTGTACCAACTTACGAAAAAAGGGGAGATAACCGAACTACCTCCGCATGTTGAAATATCTATCATGCAGTTTAAGAGGACAGCGGGTACAACTTTGCGTGCCCAATGGGGCATAACTTTCGGAAGAGGGGCGATAACCAAATCTGATATAGATTATGCGCATGGATCATTAATTGCCAGCAAGTTTCGTTAAAATCCATCAAGTAGTTGAAATTAGGGGGAGTAGCCGGTACAGCCACAGGAATCGGGCGTTCTATGTGTGAAATATAGCTATTATACTGTAATTAAATAGCAGGTTTTCTATTGTTATACATGTATATAGAAATCCTACAATTCAAGTAGTATAATAACAATATTTCACATAGAGAACGTCCGACTCTTATGGTACATCTACAGAAGGACTGACCAAAAAATTTCAGTATATCCCACCCCACCTCAGGGGTATAATGATTTTGTTTCCACTGAGGTAATTTTTTCCATGTAGTGAAATAATATACAATTTAAACACGTATATATATATTTATGGTGTGAAGTGTATTCCGCTTCAGTGAAATAAATTTGAAATGAATTGTACCGTATTGTTAAAAACTATAAAATGTTATAAATGGCTTGCCATATTAATGGTACAATACACAGTCAGCTTGTGTCTTGCATTTTAAAGTCCAATAGTCCCAATTAGGTGAAACATGATCCAGACGAGGTGTTTTCTGTAGATGAAGGAATACACATATATGTGTAAATCTGTGACGTGAATTGACGTGCCTGCTCCATGTGATTAACACTTCATCAATGCAATGAAGTGTGTGGGATAAGAACAGCAAGAAAAAAATGCAATAACACATAACTACCAATTATCTTATTTTTTGTTCTTATTCCATGCATATTGATACTATCTGCTGTGCTTCATACAAGAAATATGCTGGAAAAATAGAGATGCATTTTGTTTGAAGAACAATTAGAGACGGGGTGTGGAAAATGCCTTTATCCTATGATACAGGTATAATCAACATCAACATAAAACAATAAAAGACAGCAATAAATTATAAACTTTTATAGAAATATCAACACATCTGCAGTAAGATGCAAAAACTGATTTTAAACAAATCAATTCAAAGGCACTTTTCTTTCTGGTAAAATATCAGATTTGGTTGCAGAACCTGAACCTCAAATCCACAGAACCACTAAACCGCGACCACGAATTACTGAACCGAGACCACGGATTACTAAACCAAGACCACGGACTAGTAAACCGAGACCACGGATTACTAAACCAAGACCACGGACTAGTAAACCGAGACCACGGATTACTAAACCAAGACCACGGACTAGTAAACCGAGACCACGGATTACTAAACCGTGGCCATGGATTGCTAAACTGAGGCCTCGGATTTAAGGGGAAAAACTATGATATCCCTTCAGGGGCTCCGTAGAATTACGACATCAAAGAACAAGTTAAAAATTATTACCTGATTTTGGATATGTGCAAAGCAACACATCATCCGGCCTACATTGGAGGTTCGCTACCTTTTCAAGTTGATCTCCCACATTGCCAGGAATGTCTTTATTGAAACATCGTCCTTGGAATCGCTTGAACCTTATGATGTTCCCTTGGTTATCAGTCTTTCTAACATATTCCATTTCCAATGGATGATAGATTTTGTCAAGATATGTCTCCGTTTGTACGATTAATGATATGACTGCATAATTCATTCGGTTTTCAAGCATATGTAGCTGTTGCGGATATAACGCGTCGCGCATGCGCGGATTTCTCGTTTCAGGTAAACGATTTTTAACTACAGATCATGCAGCGTCATTTAGTTTTGAAAATATAAATATCCTTAATGTATGCCACAGTTCAGAATATTTAACAGTGAAATAAAACATTATGAATTATTATGTGTGCCTCTGAATATCAAGTATAGTAACTTTCCAACACATTGAGATAATTCTGACAAATCCGAGTAAAAAATTAGTTGTGTCTTTTTTGGGTGAAAATTACACTTAGTTCAGTTCTCTGATCAAAGTTCATTTGATAACTTCGAAATAACGGATTTCATATGAAAGGCCAATATTGTGTTTTTTGTTATTTCTAAGCTTATCACTCTATACATTTCGTTCATCTACATACAATGCTATTTCAAAGGCATATGTACAGTTTACGACTGATACTTGGTGTGAATCTATACTGACCGATGCACCTACAGTAAATAAAACAATACTGACGGATCATAGAAGCATTGTTAAAGAAATGTACGATGTATATATTATGTTGACGTTGATACTTATGTGTACTATCATTTTTAACGAGAAGTGCACTATGCACTGTCCAAGGTTATATAGAATATCTTATTATCCGAATTTTATTTCATATCACACTTTCATAAAAAAAAAAAACAGTAAAGTACACACACCTTTAGGTTAAACAATATTTTATTCAATATTCAACATTGAGATATACCACGGACTTATATACACATATGTATATAAGTCCGTGGATATACATATAATTCAAAAGAGGATTTGGTAACAAGCTTGAAGCTTATGTAAAACCATCTCCTAAACTGTTTTTACCATAGATATATTAACAGAGTGGTCTTGTCTAACTAAAAAAAGAATGCTGATGTCAACAATAAGATTACAATCCGAGTACTGATCATGTGTTTGAAATGTTATAGCGTACAACTTAAATATGAGTTATTATTATTCCCTATATTACCTCGCAAATGAAGATTGCAGAGAGTAAAGAATATGGATATATATAGGATATTTAATAGTGTCTTCAATAATAACAAATATATAGTTCACTTGTGTGGCTAATATTTTGGTATTTTTCACGAGTGCGAAGCACTGCCAAGTCGCAGCTTCTGAGATTTCAAATTTAATTCTAGCCATACACTTTCAACATTCCTTATGTCTAGATCTTTACGCTGTTTGACGATGATGTTTTTCCGAACATAGACCGCGACACCGCCACCTATACGTGTTTGTCTACTTTGACAAAAAGGTGGATAAAAATGGCCGTGGATAAGATCATTAGACGACCTGTTTGAGGGGTTTAGCCACGTTTCGGTAAACGCAAGTACGTCAAAAGTATTCAGTTATTGTAGTTGGACAAAGATTGCTTTCTCTACTCCACATTAAACGAGAATACTCCTTACAGTGCTTTATTGCTGTAAATAGAACCTTTCGATTCCATTTGTACCAAAACACACATCTATACACACAGACAAAATTGTATCAAATAAATGATTTTTATGATATTATGTCATCACTCACAACATACATAGATCTATATTCTGTATATAATATGCGCATATTGGTTTACGAACGCAACTAATACACGGTGCAAAGTATACATAAACATGTACCAACATACTGATTTCGCGTAGGAGTATACATTACTCTTCTGAAGTGTCTGTCCAAAAGAGTATCCATCCGCAATTGTCTTTCGTCCGTCTGATTTATCAATTAGGTCTCCTTTTTGTTCTACCATAGAAAAGTGATATATTTTGCATAATGATTAAGTTGAGCTTTGACTCATTGATACAAAATGTTCTTTAAAATTCTTGTGGATATGTGCACGGAGCAAATGATCTTGAATTCTAGGGAGGATGGACGGATTTCCCGGCATATGAGGCATTCTTTGACGTCACAGCCAGGTCTAGCAATATTTATTGCGTAGAACATTTCCTTCTAGGACACCAGTGCTCGATAAAATCGCAGCCAATTTTTGTAAAGAGATCGTTGACTTTAAAGCTGATCATTGCATCTTTCTTGCCTCCATTTGAAGATGACGATAAAAACATGTCCGTACTTATTACTTCATCAAATGTGACGTTAAACATTTCGGCTCATGGAAAAAATTATTTGATTTCTTAACCCAAGGAATACATGTTAAGAAGGAAAGTCTTACATGTAACATACATCTGTTGCTGTTCGGAAGTATCTACAAATATATGACACTATACTGGAGTATATGTAGGTAAAGTTCTGGTGTATCAATTCATATCCGTTCTTTTGGAAAAGAATATTTTGGTATGTTGTACATAATTAATATAAGCTGTGAAATTGTCTCCTCATTTCAAATGTAATTTAGGTGCTATACTTTTAAAGTATTGAATTTGATATATTTAATCTTAGAACTCTTCTAAACTGATATCTCAATGTTTTGAATTTGATATATTTCTCGATCTGTTTCTGTACAGCTGTTTGTGGCATGCGTCTGTATTTCCAAGCACGTTCCTAAGGTACACACAAGATCTAGTCCCGACATGTTGTGGTTATATAGTAGACTCTCCATGCTTACGTTGGACCATGAACTCCATCTGGGAGGATGATAACCATTCTATTTTGTCCGCTTATATAATGGTGGTGACATTTTTTTGTTTTTTGTTTTTTGGTTTTTTTTTTTTTTTTTTTTTGTTTTTTATTGTTTTTTTTTTCGGTTTTTGTTTGTTAAATTTTGGAAACAGAAACGAGACATGAATAGAATTTGCCTTTGAAATTCATGATAAGTGTAGTTGTAGATTCCTAACATATACGTTCACAAATTCATACGACACTTGGAATCTGTGAGGCCTCCTTTATCTATAGGGAATCGTGGACTCAAATAAGGTGTTTCCGGTAATCTTCTAGCATCCAGAATGTCACACTTAAACATCCGAAACTCTAAACCAATGAAAACAGTCAAAGAGTAAAACAAGAGCGTAGCTCTTAAGATAGAGCATTGGAATTAAGATAAGAGATTTATCCTGAGGAATAGGGCCTCCACTTTCTGTAAGAACATAAGTAGATCCTTTTTTCTGATTTTTTATAAGACAGATCAATGAAATCCTAACCTGCTCTATCCCTATCTAAAGTATTTGATTTGGTTATTGTATCATATTCAATTATTACAAAAAGTTGCACCGTTCAGAATATACATATGCACTTTTCATTTGAAATATTGCCTCTTAGCAAAGCTTTTGAAATTTCCTCGGTCGCCTTTTTGACGATTTTGGTTCATAGAATCACTGACGAGATCTAAAACGACCGTTGTATAATGCACTTATATTCAATATTTGGCTATACCGTACCTTTTCTTTCATTTGTATTAAAATGAATGCATCTTTTGCACGGCAAATGGATTATTGGATATCAGGTTTTACTTACATCAGACCAATATGATCAGGCCTTTATACAGAAGATTGAACATAAGACATCACCTTTTAAAAAAAATTTAGGATTAGATATAGTAGAGCCACCGAGTGTACAAAAGACACGCAAGTGGATAACAGAGTTAGTTACACCAGAGCCAAAAACCAACCTGCATGATACAGCTGTTTCGTCCGTCTAGGACCCATCAGTGATACTAAAGACCTAGCTTTTGACGCCTATGTGGCAACTGAAGAAAAACCAAAGTGATCGAAATAACTGTGGACGGGAAGGTGCTTTTGCGTAGTATTTCAAAAAATAGAAATGTGACATGCAAATCCACCAGCTGTGGATATCACCTGTAATCTCGTTAATTGTACAAAAGAACCAGAACACAAGTGAATGACACATTTTAATACTTTAGTGTTAGATACAGTAGAGCAAATGTGAAGTCACAACCTTCCTCCCTGTCCGTTACAAAAGACACGGAAATTTCCTTTTTACATGAGTTGTATTCTAAGTTTCTGGTTTGAGTAGGAGACATTGCAAAATCTTCACTCGTCTTGGGTATCTTCATCTGCCACGTCCTTGATAATGTATGGCTAATATGTTCTTGATCGAATGGACAGGTAGTTGGTTGGAATTGGTAGTTTTTATGTGTTTTCAAGAATACACAGGCTGGTTAGATCTGAGTTCCTCAACATGCAACAAATGATCACCAGAAGAATTAGTTTATAATCTCCAGCAGTAGATACATATCATATTAGGCACAAGTTCATGTTGTTGACATCCCTAACGATTACCGTCGACTTTGATTGTTTAGACGTACAACTTAGTGTCTGGCATTTACATCATTAGTCACGCAGTGAATTTCAAAAATATGGAAATGTGCAAATCCATTTCTTCTATTGAAATTCTCTCAAATATATCATTTGAAACTAATTTGTGAGATATATTTCAACGCGAGTTTCAAATGACAATTTCGATGTATTACACATGCTTGGAGACAAAGTAGTACATTCTGCACAAGTTACATACGTAAAGTTCTAAAGCTGCTTTATCTCAATAAATCAGGTATCCTCCATGCCCATCGCTACAGTAAATGTCTTCATCTTTTTCCTTGTTTCGGACTTCATGAATGGGTTCAAACAATCCAGAGTGTAGATCCAGAGACGTCTCTGATAATCTTCATTCCTGGAAAACAGGTGTTGAAAATGTCAGCAACGGCATTTTACTAACTACATGTATAAAGTATTAATGTTATCGTTTCGTTAAAATCAGTGACCTAATTCATTTGCATTTGCTCCATATATTATATTTTGATATTTAAATACACACGTAAACGACGTTGGTTTCAAATCATCAGACACATAACAATTAAAAAATTCATTTAATCATGGGTTAATGCACTTCCCTATATATTTTGACTTGTCTTTTGATCACTTTTGATTTCCTTCAGTCACCTAATAGGCTTCAACATTTAGGCACCTAGCATCACTGACGCTTCCTATAATACCGAAATAATTGCTGTATGATGAAATTTAATTCATTTTCTATACTTTTTCTCACTTTACATTTGTATTAAAAGGTTCTCATTACTTGTGTGACTTTTGTACAATCTTTGATATCACTCTGACACTGTGTCACTTACTTTGAAGTACTGCTGTGATGCGCCGGGTAATTATTGCTGTAATAAGGACTAATTGGTTTGTCGGGGTTCACAGCGGCATTTATCGTCACAGTGGCACCTTGGTAGGATGTTTTGAAACCTAACGAGACGCAACAGATCAGAAAATGGCTAGGCACTAACATTTCTTTACTATCGCCATATATTCAAATACTGAATATATCATGCTTCTTATGGCAGACCGTGTTCCCCTTCCCAAAACATCAAACATATTTATATAAAAAGCAATTTTGAACATCAACACATTCCATTATCAGAATATCAGATAATTTTTTATCTTTTTTTTTCATGTGAATATTCACATGAATTGTTTACCAGGTTATACGAAACTTTAAAATGGTGACCTCAGAAATAGGATTTATTTTCTTGTAAACGGACCAATGATATCAATGTTAAAGGCAAATTAAATGTTAAAGAAGGATTTAGATTACATACGTAATTAGTGGTGACAGTAAGAAAATGGACAAAGAATTGTCAGTCGATATGAACAAAGTTCAGTAGATTATCCTATATCGTCGTTACTGCAAATCTGGAATACCTTAGTGGAGATATATATAATGAGGTGTTGTTATTCACAGAGAAATAATGGGAACTTTCATTTTCATATGACATCGGCATTAGTCTAGACATTAAGGCTACATGGGGTGTTTACTTTCACTTACTGTAAAAAGTCTTATCGAATTAAATTGAATAATTGAGTTGTGTAATAAAAGGTAAGGATTTCGATTTCACTATAATTTCCCATTTCCAGATAGTAATGTCATGTTTTAATATCGAACTTTGATGAATGAGGACTTGTACTCATTTGAATACATAAAAGGCAACCGACGGATATGCAAGTTGATGAAACCTGCGGAACGTTTTATGGTAGCAAATATTGGAAAGCATTCCATTTCCTAGAACAATATCAATTAAGATGTTTTGGAGATGCTCGTAAGTATTCAATGTTGTTTCGTTGTTATCAAGATTGTTTTTTCTTATTTGGGAACGTGACATTACTTACTAAGTTTTAAACAAAATGTGTATGCCAGTTGTCGTTGAGGTTTTTGAAGATGTTTACCAGGTCTTATTTCTATGATTGTTCTCATGGGTCTCTGAGTATATCTATCTTGTCTCCATGTTTTGCCATCGTTTTATATATGTTTTAAGTTTGGATTGATAACATGTCCAGTTACCATTTAGTAAAGTTGTTGATATCCCCGTTTTTTATCCCCCTAGTGGATCCTATCATTCGTTTACATTTAGTCAACCCTTTTATTTTCTAAATTTATCTTATTAATAATTTAAGGTGTGCATCTTTTGTACGCGTTATCCTTTAAAATGACGGAATTTTTCAGTGAAAAAAAGAAACTGAGAATAAGTAAGTTTATTATAGATTGTTACCTGCCCAGGCCACCGTAGCGTATGACCAGTTCATGAGAAAGCCGTAATCACCAAGACCCCTGTTGATATCTGTGTACACCCAACCTGGGTTGACACTACAGATAGAGACATTACTCCCCTCTAATAAGCGTCGCATGGTGTATGTCTGCATCACCTGCATGTATAGTTACAGCTTTATCAAACTGCTTTTAATGAAATCGAAATCACAAGGTATAGATGCAAAGGTGTCCCAAACAGAATAACGTCCACGTACTTTACATATTGTTTGTTTGTTTGTTTGTTTTTTTCCGAGACTTTTTTTTTCCAAAATGGAGACATTACTCCTCACTTATAAGCATATGACCAGAAAAACCTGGGCTATTTCATGCTATTTCGGCAAAAAAGACTTCGGTTACATTTTGATTTGCAACATATATGAAATATTTTTCCGTGACCATTTGCTTTTAAGAAGAAATTGTATTGAGAATATGAAAATTCCTTATACTTTATTGTTTACTCTTTGGAGACGAAGTGATCGCTCAACGTACCAGACATGCTTGAATTGTTTTTCTGTAACTTAATAAAGGGGAGGTAATTCGTATTTTCGTGCTATCTTCATGTGCAATATTATGATTATGATATAGATCATTTGTCTACCATAGGGAGACTGATTATAAAGGCTTTTGTCTGTTACCCAATACTTATTGAATATGTTCAGTGAAATGAAATGCATTAAGAAAAATGACTGAATCTATAAGGGACAGCAAAACATGCAATAAAATACAAGTATTCAGAAATCAAATATCACTGAAATTCAGTAATGTAGCTGATGTGATGATGTGTTGAAGATTAATTTAGTCATTCCGGAATGATTTTCGGCAGTTAGAAAATCAGATCAATAAAATTCCGGAATTTTGTACTTGCCTGGTAAAGTTTAGACCTGCTGTACTGAATAATTCTGTTGTAAAGTGTACAAGGAAATATCCCTTGAATTCTCTTGGTGTCGAACCCACAATTAAAATGCATGAAACTTGAAACCAGAATAACCCTGCAGTCTTCACCGCTGGCTTCCATCAGGGGCAATAACTCTGCACACAGCAGGAAATGCCCTAGGTAGTTGGCCTACAAGTCGCACCTCACACATGTAATAAGTCTTAATAGTATGCATACAGATATGGATATTAATTTAATGACATCGTAAATCTCGTCTATATCCTTTGTCAAAGCCGATGGTATAGGAAGAACAACATCGTATCGCATATTTATATTTCAAATTTTATGTTTTAAACGAAACGATATAGTCAAAGAATTAATATACTGATAGCGACACAATGGTGATTCTTTGGTACATAATTTACCAATTCTACGATGTAATATGTATACCGTCCATGTTATATAAAATTGTGCGATCATACAATTCAACCTAACATGACTATTTAAAACACAGACAGAACAAGCCTTGGTAGCAATGAAAATAATTTGATGTGTTATATACTCCAACATTTAACATCTGTTTTATGTCATAGTTTTAAATAATTTTAGATATACTTTAACTACTATTACAATAAAACAAATCAACCGCGTCAGACAGTTATCTTCAAGTTGGTTTCATATGTGAACAATATATGTCTTTCCTTTGCAATGAAGGTTTTACACTTAAATAAACGCATTTGATAAAAAAAATTTCGTCTGTTACTGACCTGAAAATGCAGTTCGTATCCGTCCTCTGTAATCTCTGTTACGAAGAAAGAATTTGAATATTAGTAAAATGAAAGAGCCAGTATTGTATTAGAATGCCAAATAACACCTAAGATAAAATCATTTATCATAAACATGTGTACATACATCACAGGAAATTAGCTTAATGCTTTGTGATAACAAGTAATATGTTAAGAAATCAGATTGTTAGTAATGTGCATAAAAAAAGTTTTGAGGAAAATCTCCCACACCGAATCTATGAGGATCAGAAGCTAAAATATATAAAACAGACGGTGATTATACTACATTAATCTGTTAGAAAAGTAGGTCATGAAAAAGTGGTATATCAAAAACACAATAGGTAGAATGACGTTTAACTTGATGGTATAGGAGAATACAATGAAAGTTATATACATACAAGTACAATGTATGTGTGTGTGTGTGTGTGTGTGTGTGTGTGTGTGTGTGTGTGTGTGTGGATATCGAATCAATGAAATACTGCTTAATTGATTAATACAGTTCTTTCATTAGAAAATCTTATTTGTGCATGGAAATGAATAAAACTAGATTACAAAACAGAAAATTCCATCATATATCAAAGATTATGAAAATCATAAAACTATCTGATGGCGAAACTCAATTAACCTGAATAAATGTCGGTCTATTTAAACAGGTTTTCCTTATATTTACCTGGGGGACACATAGCCACGCCCGCGTTACATATGAGAACGTGGAGATTTCGACCAGAGTCCCAATATTCTTCGATAAATTTTTTCGTGGAGGTTAGAGACGACAGATCAAGTTCTATGACGTCCATGGCTAGCTCGTCATAATCACACAGGCCTTTGGTACCTTTCTTCTTCTCCTCATGGAATTCCATGTTCATTTTTACCATAGCCTAAAAACCCGTCATAGGTATATCATTTCTTTTCTTGTTATTAAAATTTATCCCTGCAATGCATCTAGTATCAAAGTTAATGATTATATTTAAAAACAGCTTGCGTGTAGAATGGAAAAACATTCCATGAAGATAGTTTCGACAGTGAAGGGAAACAAATTTTTTCCTGTGTTTTATGGGGGTTTCGACAGAAAAGGCAGCGTCGCTATATCGCCATCGAAAGTGTTAAAATGAATATATCCCAACTAACTGTATCAAAACCCCGAAGCACAAATCTTGCACAAAACTTACCTTTCTGCCGTTTTCTACAGATCGACAAGCTAGAATAACTGTGGCCCCAAGCATGGCTATCCATTTGGCTGTTTCGTATCCAAGACCTAATTAGAAGTAGAATGCACGAAAACAGTAAATATTTATTTAACGTTTCGGTTAAAAAAAACCACCAGAACCATTTAATTTGGAGACTGTATCCTTTGATATATAGACGATTGAAATAAAGTGTCGTGACGTTTATTGACAATGGAATTGAAATTACGTTTCATAGTCATCAGCTCTTTCTAAGTGTTTTATGTTTATAAGTTTCCTGACCATCAGTTATCTGTCAGTGTTGTATGTTTCATGGTCATCAGTTATCTGTCAGTGTTGTATGTTTCATGACCATCAGTTATCTGTCAGTGTTGTATGTTTAACGGTCATCAGTTATCTGTCAGTGTTGTATGTTTCATGACCATCAGTTATCTGTCAGTGTTGTATGTTTCATGGTCATCAGTTATCTGTCAGTGTTGTATGTTTCATGACCATCAGTTATCTGTCAGTGTTGTATGTTTCATGGTCATCAGTTATCTGTCAGTGTTGTATGTTTCATGGTCATCAGTTATCTGTCAGTGTTGTATGTTTCATGGCCATCAGTTATCTGTCAGTGTTGTATGTTTCATGACCATCAGTTATCTGTCAGTGTTGTATGTTTCATGACCATCAGTTATCTGTCAGTGTTGTATGTTTCATGACCATCAGTTATCTGTCAGTGTTGTATGTTTCATGACCATCAGTTATCTGTCATGACCATGTTGTATGTTTCATGACCATCAGTTATCTGTCAGTGTTGTATGTTTCATGGCCATCAGTTATCTGTCAGTGTTGTATGTTTCATGACCATCAGTTATCTGTCAGTGTTGTATGTTTCATGGCCATCAGTTATCTGTCAGTGTTGTATGTTTCATGACCATCAGTTATCTGTCAGTGTTGTATGTTTCATGACCATCAGTTATCTGTCAGTGTTGTATGTTTCATGACCATCAGTTATCTGTCAGTGTTGTATGTTTCATGGCCATCAGTTATCTGTCAGTGTTGTATGTTTCATGGTCATCAGTTATCTGTCAGTGTTGTATGTTTCATGGCCATCAGTTATCTATCATTGTTGTATGTTTCATGGCCATCAGTTATCTGTCAGTGTTGTATGTTTCATGACCAGTTATCTGTCAGTGTTGTATGTTTCATGGCCATCAGTTATCTGTCAGTGTTGTATGTTTCATGGCCATCAGTTATCTGTCAGTTTTGTATGTTTCATGACCAGTTATCTGTCAGTGTTGTATGTTTCATGACCAGTTATCTATCATTGTTGTATGTTTCATGGCCATCAGTTATCTGTCAGTGTTGTATGTTTCATGGCCATCAGTTATCTGTCAGTTTTGTTAAGTTTATCAACATATAGTGGTACAAGCGTTGATATGACATATTGCTTACATGCTACTATGTGGAAAAGTACTTTATAAGTGGGTTCAAGCTCAGATAAGGGCTTGGTAAGAGCTGCAGAAGTATATTATCTATCATACAAGTGTAAAACGAGAGACGAGCAGTCAGGATGTGAATGTAGACCGAAACAGGAAACCGTGATAAAAGGCACAAGTCTTATATTGGTGCGGTAGTTACAGTTAAGAAATGAACTCCTTCGTACAGGAAGTAATTAGAAACGGATAAGAATTAGCTGATCAAGGTTTCACAGATAATATGGACATGGAATAAAAGTGATATAGTACACTGGCAATTTTAGTTGCTTAAATATTTGTTTAATACACTTTTGTAGTAATGTCGGTTACAGCTGTGTTATTCCCTATGCAAAAAACGCATTTGTTCATTTGTGGAAAATAAAATAGCTCGGCGATGGCAAAGCCTCCGTTTCCGGTGGCTTAAGAGAGACATCGAAGTTATTGAATCTTACAGGTTAGGCTATTATTGACCGAATAATTTCTGTTCCATTCTGATCTCCCAGAGTTACTCCCCCTCGTTTCAATCTGTCATATGGTATGACGATAAGCTTGGCAGTCGATTGAGGTGGGGAATGTTTCTCTTTCGTTCTGAAGTAGGTTTTAACATATCAATTATTCTCTTTATTGCCTCCAAAATGAATTTGCATGAAACATATTAACATTCAGTACATAAATGAGTGCTAATAGGTGTAGTAGGTTTTTGCATATTGCCCTGATTGTTTTCTTTGTATGTCAAATAACCCATGTTGTAATTCAGATCAATACATACACGCAGTCATGTTTAAGGGGACGTATGACATAATTCAATATCATATTAAACCCGATTTAATAACCGAGACCCTTATGTATACTTCAGTTGTCAGAACCGCCGTTGCTACAAAACTGAGTCATTTTCACCCAAGGATACTTCAGACCGAATTTGGATAAAATCTCATGATGCGTACAAAAGAAGAAAGATTTTCAATTACTTTATGAATTCCCCATTTTGGGGACTTGTCTCTCAGGCCTCCAGCAGCGGAGAACCACCATTTACAAAAAAAAATTCTGTGACCAAGTTTTGATGAAAATCCGCTTCGTTGTTTATAACCGGTAGCGATGTTTAGGAGAAAAGTTGACGGCTGCTGCATATGACCTTAAATGACTCATTAGCTGTTAGATAGAAAAAGGACCTAGTTACCACAGTAACATAAATATGCTGGTGTACATTTTAACTTCTTTCTTAATCCAGAGTTGAGCGATCAACTGGTATTAAAAAAACAAATAAGAGGTTTTTACATGTACCCTATAATTATATTTATATACAGACATTTGTACATATGTGAGCCACCCGGTCCAACGCTCAATATAAAGTAGGTCACTTTCAGTATACATATCTCTGGGAGTTGACAATGACACCAGTCGAATACGTGTGTGTATATATATCACGGTTGTAGACACATTATGCAGCGAGTGCGAATCATTGTGCATTAAAGTAAACAAAAAGAGTGACGAGTTGAACTTATACCTGATAAAATGCTGCCTTGAGGTATCTATACACGTAAACCACTGTGAAGCGTATGAATATAGTGGGCCACAAACTTGAGTTAGAGCATATATTCCCCAATTAGATTTCACGACATGCTGATTAGCGGTGACCACTGGGTACTACAAAGCACCATACACACGTTTTCTATCAAAAGTTGTTTCCAATGAAGTATTTTTTCAGTAAACTAAAATTAATTCACAATCGGAAGAAAAAATAATTAAATATTTACCTACCTCTATTAGCTCCCGTCACAACTACAATCCTGTCCCGGGGTAGGGTCACCATGGGAAAGCTATAGTCACTGCCCATACCGATTCTGTACCCCGGGCTGCACTCCTGACGATCAAACAACTATCTTGCAGCTAGACTCGCTGTGTGTACAGTGTGTTCAGTATATATACGATATGGCCAAACGTTCCCTGCTCACTTAGATCTACTGATAAAATATTCACAATTTTATGGCGGTGGCTGATAGGACATTTACTCCATTAAAATTTTTTTCAATTAAATTCTTTATCTCAGTGAAGCTGTCGGAGATTACCTCCAGTTGCGATGCGTTTACAAGCCAACTTTATCACAATATAACATTTTTTGGCGAGGTAAAACATAAGGACTATGCCATTTTATTTCAAGGTTAATAAAATAGTATTTTAAATAAAATTTCATTTACTCCTTCCATCAATCAAACAAGTGTCTGCATTGGCATTTATTCATTTAGAATCAAATCACTTTAAAGTTGACTTTGCCTCAAAAACAGAATATTTGTTTCCACAAAATAAAATTTAGAAATCTATCTTAAAAATTCGAAAACGAGAAAACCGTGATGCATCAGAGCATATTTTTTTTCTGTTAAACGTTTCTTTATAAAACACTCTTGGGGTCGATACAGTGCAAACAGCATTATTTCAACACACAACTGTTACTAAGCCGACGAAACAGGCTTCAAACAATGTATCGTGCGGACTAATATAATCAGAGCTAATTCTCCTTCATTCCCACCAAAGTAGAAATCACAAGAAACAAATAGGAAAGCAACATAATGAATAAAATAAAATGTGCATTGTATAGAAGCTTCGTTGTTTTCGTTGTAGACAAACCACGAAAAATAAATTGACATAATTGGGACTCTGGATAGCAGAATTGAGTGTACAATTATGTGATATCTACGAAAGATTTTTACCTTAGAAATGATATATAAGCCTTAAAGTACAATGTATCCAAGACGATTTCTATTGTACAGTACTAGAATAAATAATTACAGTAAATTTGATCGATGATATTGACGCGAATCTATTTTTGAGAACGTGACATTACTATGGTTAACCTAGATTAATGTATGTTGTTGACAGGCGGAAGACGTTTTCCTGTTCAGAAAATGTTCAGCAGATTGTTGAAGGTGGTCCTTTAGGACATTATTTCATTGTCCATGTATTGTCCTTGTGACATGTAATTGTCATCCACTTTATATGTCGTATTATCGAAACTAAGTTCTTTGAGATAATCGTTGTGACAGGCCGTGTTATTTTGCAACATTTATAAGACTTTTTTTAAAAACTTTATGTCGATGTGTCGACAGCATTAACACAACAGGTCAAGTTTAATAAAAAAAATCAACACTTGTGAGTCGCGCTTTTATCTACAAGTCGATGTAGATATATAGTTATTCCGTTTCTTGTGGTCAAAGAATGTCGATAAAAAAAAAGAAACCTTTCAGAGAAAGTCTGGTGTTGTCAGTTCATATGTTCAAGAAAAAACCGTGTGTTACCATGTTTGCTGACATTTTTACTACAGAAAGATAGACAAAATGCTTCCATTATTTATTAAATTAGAACTATTTTTTTATCACATCGCCGACAACGACGATTGATTGATAAACACATCCAATAACAAACATATACAAAAAAAAAATCTTGTGTAATTCTACCGGTTAATTAAGCAAAATCCATAGCATGTTAATACATTGGAGTCTGTATCTCTCAAACGTTTTAATAACACTGTTCACTGCTGATGAAACTAAAATGTTATCAAATGAAAAATTTACAAGTTACAAGATTAATACTATTTGACAAACAACTAGTGTTAGTTATTGTGTATACAACCAAATCAATATTTTACCATTAGGTATAAAACACATCAGCTACAGGTGCCGTGCATATACATAGTTTCAATGTCAGTTATACAAAATGTATATAACTGTACACAATACATCCATTGTCAAAGATTTTGTACACATTCACATATCATCTTGTACACATACACATTGTATCTTGTACACAAACGCATTGTATCTTGTACACATACACATTGTATCATTGTACACAAACGCATTGTATCTTGTACACATACACATTGTATCTTGTACACAAACACATTGTATCTTGTACACAAACACATTGTATCTTGTACACAAACACATTGTATCTTGTACACATACACATTGTATCTTGTACACATACACATATCATCTTGTACACATACATATTGTATCTTGTACACAAACACATTGTATCTTGTACACAAATGCATTGTATCTTGTACACATACACATTGTATCTTGTACACAAACGCATTGTATCTTGTACACATACACATTGTATCTTGTACACATACACATTGTATTTTGTACACATACACACTGTATGTTGTACACAACACACTAGATTTCACATAACTTGTATACAACACAATTGCTGTCTTTGTCTTATATTTGTCGAAACACAAAACAAGTAAACATATCATACCACTAATAACTTCAGTGTGTTTGTTCCTTAAACAGCTAATGGAAAAGAGCTAAAGACTTCAGAGAAAAAGTTAAAGCATTTGATAGTACAATGAAGATGCACGTACTGATCATTGCTGATTCATCTAGCTTTTGAAAAATTTCAGAACATGAAATTAAACTCCTCGTTAAAACAAAATTATATACAATGTACACACTAATGTACTAAGAATTCTTACTCCACACAAAACTTCATATTGATTGATGGTCACCTAAATTTACACTAAAGTTTAAACTGATGAGTAGTCATGCTTGGATGACCGCACACCGTAAGGCATTGCTATCTACAAATCAATAGCAATATTTGAGAACCTGGATGTAATAGTTAACAGGAGGCCTAATGATCCTGTGTCACTCACTTGGTATTCAATATCTTTTACAATACACAGCAATTTGCATTACTGACATTTAAAGTCTTGGTCATTGAAGAAAGGTGTTCAAAAGATTTTACAACTTTGACCTCTGTGACCTGTGACTTTGAATATAGGATGGTCCAAGAGAAGTAAACAGCGATCCCCCTGAAATAAATATAGCTGATGCTGATATTACTATGTAGGTGAAATATATATATGATTGGTAGCTGAAAAGCAGTTTTCAGCAGTCACATAATATTTTTTTGAAATGTCTACTTGGTAACACTGCGACATAGTATGTGTCTAATGCGAGTAGGTAAATTATTAAACCCTCAACAAATGAAATGCCTGTAGAAATGAAGCCGGTATATGTTTTGTTGATATCCACTACACAGCGGTTTCAAATATAAAACTTGTTTTTACATTTAAGATTTTCGAGGTAACTGATAAACAGTGATTGTCATTTCTGTGTCATAAAAGAGTTCGCATATCATTGTAGACACCTCCTCCCAGTTAAGGCAGTCCAGACCACAACCAATACAAGGCATGGACAGTGAAGTGACATTGTTCCTGACACAGTGTTTCTTCATCTCCACCAGACTAGACTTCAGTGTATCATAGGTTGGTTTATCATTAGCTTTAGGTTTCGTTATCAGGTAATATATAAATCTTCCTCCATCATTCAGAACAGCTAATTCCCCTGTCTTCTTTTCTGCAAATAGACAACAAAACTATGCAATTATGATGTGGTCTCCTGAATGTATTTCTGTAAAAGATAAAAATAACTCTTTCTATTACATGGTGTAAAAAATATGACAGTAACTATCATTTTGACAACCAATGTATTAAAATGAAGTTATATATAATGTATATATTCCCAGATAAGAGATTTTATCTTGAATCTAACAAGTTCAGAATCACATGTGTAATTTTCCGGGAGTTCATCAACCTTCTACAATTTAAACAAATCAATACAGTGTTAAGAGCCTTTCTGCATGATAACATAGTAAACGAACTGATTCTACACACTGTGTGTAATTGATACTTTAGATAGATACAAATGGATGAATAAATGTCACCTAGCAACAACACCAACATTTGTAGGTCATTATACAATAAAATTATTCATTTCTGAGGAGGATTAATTTTCACTAATTTCATGGGCACGCTCGATTGACAAATTCATACCAGCATGTCCATAAGTTGTTGAAATAAGTACAGGTAGCTTTACTTTGCTGTTCCTATCCATAAAATCAAGCATCTATGAAATAACAATTTTTTTTTAATTGAAAAGACAAACAAGGTAACTACTGTGTGGTCAGAGGGTGCAGTGGTTTTCGCACGTGCCTTTCACAAATACTAGCTGTCTTGGGTTTGATTCCTGGAAGGGGTGTGAAAAGGTATGGCATCCCCTGCATAACCACATCGTTTGCCTTGGTTACTCTGATTTCCTTCCACAATAAGACCCCTGAGGCACTTACACCCCGGTCGACAAGAGTGATTAATGTAATTTGAAATAACTTGTTTTGCAATTGTTGTGAAATAGGTCAAGTTTACATAAAATTATTGTGTTGAAACAAGATACAAAACGTACTTGTGCATGTTGTAAACTTATTTGCTCTTCGGTAGCCAAAGTTTCCTATTTGCCCTATCATTCGACATTAGACCATATTCACCATTGGTTAGTAGCCCTCACATTCTGTCAAAAGTGTAATGTCATGTCGTGGGGGAAAGGGGGATAAGAGAACCACTGACTGTCAGTAATTTCATAATTACAGTTGAAAACTACGTTAAGATTTCAAGAGAAGTGCTGCATTTACAAGAGGAAACAAGGTACTTACATATAGCTGAAGATTTCTACCAGATGTCTGTTTATCAAAATGTCTGACATCTGGTGTTGGGACTAGAGGAAATTTGGGCTACCCAGGACAACTCTCAACTATTAAACCGTTATTACGATAGCGCATTAACAATGGGATAAGGTTTCAAAAAGGAGCTGCTAACATCCAGTTTCTTCACCACTATAGGTTACTTTATAGAGATGGTAGAGCTATCATGACACTCATGAGTCAGTTCATAAAACATGTACTTCAAAAAAGAAACCAGGCAATCGGGAAAAACCTTGTACAGTGTATCTCAGCAATTTCATAATAAGACATGGTTTCATGAGTTACATATATCTCTAAAATCTTCAAATCTGTTTCATTCAATTCCAGTGAGTTTTTTTTTTTTTTTTTTTTTAATAATGAAATTAAACATACTCATAGCCTTGAGTTTATCCACACGTTTAAACTTTTTCTTGAACAAGACAGCAATTCCTCTGCCCATACGAATATCTTCACTGATACAGTGAGCTAAGGAATCTGTGGCTGGACAGGAAAACAAATCTCCTTCCACCACCCTGAACTTGAAATTCTGAAATGATGAAAGAAGATAACTAAATTATAATCTGTAAAAAAAGTTCAATAAATTAAAATACAAAAAAAAACCTTTAGTTAATATTATAAACTCTAGTGGTGTTCTACCACTGACATTACAATACAGTACAGACACACATAGCAATGTATACATAGTTTTATATTTTTACATTGCTATACAGGGTAACATAACTTCAGGTCTAAGAATTATGTACATTGTACATTTTGTATGTGTACAATGTACATGTTATGACAAGCACATTAAATTCTGAATACATCCATTTCAAAGGAGATAGACAATGAACTAACAGAAATTCTGTTTCTCTCCTAAAAGAACAAAGATTCTAATCATCAATGGTTTTTATAATCATTGTTGACAATAATTCATGTATAAATTTTAAATTAAGTGCATATATATTTAATGTAAGTAAATACACTGCAATTGGTTATAAAAGCATTTGACTTTTGTTTATTGTTTATTATATACAGACTTAAAAATTCACTTGACCTCACACATTTAATCTATTTTTATATATATATAAAATACAATTTATCAACATCGAATAATGTAATTTGACATTTTTCTTCTTTGTTCCGAAATATGACAAGTCAATAAAGAGAAATAAATACATACCACGCCCGAAGACACAGATGCAGTCGCCATGTTCTTAGTCAAACTATACACTGACCAGAAAAATATGTTTGACCTGAAAATAAAGAAAACGACCAATTGTGAATAAGAGTTGCTTCCCCTAGTCCATGTCTGATAATATGTTTTTTTTTTTATACAGCTATATCCGAGACATATATATCACATATATACGTCTCAGGCTATATTGAGTAAATTGGGTTCATTTCTTAATTTTTCTTTCAAACAATTAAAAATACAATATACATTGTTTTTGACATGTAATAAGATCGTAATGGTACAATGTGAAGAATAAAAAGCACGGACTTCGAATCAAAGTTCGTGGTGGAAGTTATGGTAACAATACATTGCCTACCTGTTTGATTTCAGGGAAACATAAAATGACGTTTCTTGGTGTTCGATTCTTACCTCGATATCCGTAACATACACAGATCAATTCGGGTTACAAGCTCATTTGCAATACTCGCATGTGTCTATTGCAATCTAACCCACTTCCGCCACACAGTATAACACTTCCGCTTTCACTTTTAGTTTGTAATATTCTGAGAATAAAATATAAGCTATTGTTTATATCGTCGATGTTGATAGATTGTCGTTATGGCCAAATAATTGAAATCTTGTAGATTATGTCGATACACCAACATGATGTTTGTTTGTCAAGTTTTATTGAGTCAAACAACCATGGGTAACTACAGGGACGTATCTTACGTCCCTGGTAACTAGCACGAGTCGTCTTAGTCTTGCTCAAGTTCGATAAGATATTTGAAATCAATCAATGGAATTTGAGATAGATTTATGAACTACTTGCTGTAGGCTAAGTATTTCTTGTTCTTTTGTTTTGTTTTGTTTTGTTTTTGTTTGTTTGTTTGTTTGTTTGTTTGTTTGTTTTTTGGCTTGTTTTTTTTTACTCTTTGTTTGTTTAGGAACAACCGTGTAACTTACCCATTGAACATGTATAACGCCTTTCAGTGTGTCGGTACCTAATTATCATGCAGTATAATGATGTGGCATAATAAACGAAAAATATGTGGTTACCGGTTTTATCCGAATGAATATAACGATGTCGATATTGATTGTTATCTTGTCGTTGTTGCTGCTGCTACTATTATGGTAGTTGTTTTTCTTCTTCCTCTTCTTCTTCTACAATCCAGTAATTATTTTGATGGGTTTTAAAACGATTTAAAGACTTATTTGAGAGACAAACATGAACAGGTGATCTATTGAAGTACTCAAGGTACATGTAGTAATTCTGATATAGACATTTATTCAGACAAAATACGGAAGTTCAGAGGAATTAAGAACGGATATCTGACTAATTCCAGCATGCCGAAGCATCTCCAGGCGCTCAAAGATATAAACACGTGCACAGAAAGTTGTGTATTTTTCTTTTGTTCAAACTTTTTTTTTTAACGGGTCGATGAATACGAATCCGGAGGTCATCAGTGGAAGTGATACAGGTAGGATCGTAATATAACGTTACCGAATGTAAAATCGGTAAACATTATTATCAGTTAAGAATCAAATTGTCTAAAATTTCAAGATGTGGATGATACGCCAAATTTAAGTAAACGTCAAATTTACGTAAAATTCCTCCCTCTTGATGAAACTACGATTATGGACAATTCATGTAGATGAAAGATTATTTTGGACAACACAATGAGACTGCACAGTAAAGATTCATAAGCATATATTTAATGTGACGAGTACTTTCACCGAAAAGATGTATTATAATCCTTGTCACTATTTTTTTTATAAAATTTCAAGGGGCTATATTGCGCTGTTATAAATATGACGCCGTGCAGTAGGCGAGGTGGGAATGAATGTACACGCATTACGTAATAATATCGCTTAACATGTTATTATACATCGTGGTCTTGAAATAATGCCAGTATTACTTGACCCATGTAGTGTGTAATTACATACACCAAAAACGCTTGTTGATATAAGACAGACGAAACATATCTTACAATGTATCACATGTTTGAAAAAGGAGTTTGGCGGTTATGTGATTCCCTAGAAGGCAATTTTATTTACGGTCTCTGATCTGGCAATGGATCAATTACCTCTCTTTAAATGATAATTATGTTAGCCTAACGAAAATCCGACACAGGAAGTCAACGTCTTGACACATCCATATATATTATGCTAGTCGATGGAATATTGCCTTATCCTCTAAGTTCTGGGTTGTATCTTGCAGCAGCGCTTTGTTTGATGTTGATAACTACAGCAAGGTATTAGTTGACTAAAGCTAATATCAAGTGGTAATTAGTAGCAGATAGAACTTTCTTGAACTTAACTAAATCCAAGGGTCATAATTATGGAAAACATCTTGATAGTATGTATACCTAGTGTTACTATGTAATTTGTCATTTGTAACAAAAGTGCAGTGACACTGGCAAGTTGTTACCTTTTTAATATTTTATTTCAACAAAGCTTTGCTGTGGTCATTTTGGATCAGATAACGTAGATACAGTTGGCAAAGATTAATATGATTGCCAGTGTTAAAAATCAATTGTAATGAAAATCGTTCCTGTTACTGCCGTTAGAACAGGATGGACACATAACTGACATAAAAATAGGACCGTACTTCATATCTTACCTTTTTTTGTCTCTCTCTCTCTCTCTCTCTCTCTCTCTCTCTCTCTCTCTCTCTCTCTCTCTCTCTCTCTCTCTCTCTCTCTCTCTCTCTCTCTCTCTCTCTCTCTCTCTCTCTCTCTCTCTCTCTCTCTCTCTCTCTCTCTCTCTCTCTCTCTCTCTCTCTCTCTGTGTCATCGTAACAAACTACTCACAATTCAGCAAATTCCCACTCATAAATCCTTCACAACATGACCATGTGTAAACACTATGAAAATTTCACTTCCTGTAAAGCTACTTTTTGGTAATTTCCAATACAAAGCTAAAATATTATTCTGAAAAAAATTGAAAACCCATATTGTCCACTTCAACATGACAAGATAAATTTTAGCAAGGATTTATTTTTAAGATTTTGATTAAAATGTGGTGATCAAATGAACGAAAATACCACCATGGCCACACTATGAAACTGTGTACTGTTACCCTAGAAACTTAACGAGTCGATTGAAACTAGTCATTTTCTAAATCAAGCTTGATCTATTTTTTCAACAACCACGATACAAATTATTCCAAGTTATATTAACCGGTCATATTAGTTCGGATGTAAGGCCTTGATTGGCCATCGGAATACCCGGGTAAAACGCGCGAAGTAGGAAATTAAAATGAAAACTATTCATAGAGTGCATGTACTTTATCGATGTTGAAAATAATACAGCAGAGATTCGATATCCACATGTAGTACTGATATATTATATAAGCATCGTCTATTTTAACTACTTTTGTAAAGTAAACATGCATTGTAAGTGTCAACACATCATCATACATTTAGATCACTTTTCTGACCACGTGGTGCTGGAATTAACTTACACTTCCGGTCAACCTGGTGTCAGCTTTACTTTTTTACATAGTTGTGTTGGTGTTTGTCGTGTGGTGCCAATATTTTGATATTATCTATCATATAAACTTTCAATTCCAGTGACGTCACAAATTTTAAGACTGTCCATGATACTTTTACACACACAGGTGCTAACGTAGTTACATTACATCCGTATGAAATACCAGAATGCTTTTCCTGGACTTTGTTTGGCAATTTAAAAAGCGGAATGTTCTGATTTTATGGCTGAGAAGTTGATTAATGTACTAGGGATTATACTTTCTCGCACGACACAGACAGAATTCCGTTGGTTTCCGGAGGCTTCTTAAAATTCTATATTTAACGCAACGCGGGTTTTCCTTAACACAGGATTCCGTGCTAATTTTAGGTTCTATGTATATGATGACACGCCGTGTAACATTCGGAGCCCGGAACAATCTGACACCTGCAAGTGTGATGTGTATACAGTAGTGTGCACTCGTGTACACATGATGTAGCCAGGATGATATTAACGAAGGCATGTGTGTACATCTACAACGTATTGTTTAAGCTACCATGGCAACCACGTAATATTGATGAAGGAAAACATTTAAAAAAAACGTCGCTGGGTAGTAATCAAGGTGGTCAGTCATCTAGTTGTGACACCTTTACGTATATTCCTGTGACTCTCCATCTGACCTTGTGGTATGGTTGGCGTTGTCATCAGGTGTGTATTGAAAACGCGATGACAGAAGACAGCAGTTGACATTTCCATGCGACCACTGTATGCGTATAAATACAAGCAAGCCATTGAAACTATTCTGTAAACTGAAAAATATATATATATTTCTTAGCAACGTATACTTGCAAAATAGATTTATAAATGTATATATATATATAGTATATCTTAACCGGAAATCAAAATACATTTCTGTCAACCACTTTATGATTACAAATTTTCTACATGAGAAAGTTTCAGTTCACACACACACACACACACACACACACACACACACACACACACACACACACACACACATAGAGAGAGAGAGAATGTATACACAGGAATACAAATTTATGTAACTATTGGTATATGTATGCGTGTGTGTGTGTGAGAGAGAGAGAGAGAGAGAGAGAGAGAGAGAGAGAGAGAGAGAGAGAGAGAGAGAGAGAGAGAGAGAGAGAGTGTGTGTGTGTGCGTGTGTGCGTGTGTGTGTGTGCGTGCGTGTGTGTGTGTTTCAAGATACAGGACATACGTTCTCTCGTTTGAATCCATATGAAAGGCATTTAAAAAGATTTTACTTCCGAATATGAATTATTAATTGCTAAAGATTATTCGGCATTAAATAGGGAGATAAAAATCTCGTTTATCGATATAAAATGATCAGATTTATTAATCTGGACATTATGTTTTAGAATGATATTTTACGAAAGGGTTTGGTGGAATAATAACCATTTTGACCATATCTCATATTTTTATCAATTAGATATGCGTAAATGAGGAATACCACGACGTCAGACTGATGACGAGGAAAATTGGAATATTGAAGTAATGAAGAATTACATGTTAAGGGTTAGTATTTTGACACTGGTTGTTAATGTTTTAATTTGATGCTCGGTCAACGGGAAAACCTTAATATTTGGAGGTTACATCTATAAGCCATATTTTGAGCTGAATCAAGTTGTCATCGGTACTACATATTTACAAATTATCACTTAATTCAAGACAGAGATCGAACCAAGGTCCGTATTCACGAAACCGTTCTCATGCTCAGACTCAAGGTTTTGTGCTCACCTATTTTATTCTCGTGCTCAAGTCGTATCCACGAAAGATTCTGTGCTCAACTCTTGAGCACGTTCTCAGAAAGTTTGATGAGTACGAATTTTGAGTACGTTCTCACTGGAGCAGACTTGAGCATAAGCACAAAAGTTGAGTTTGAGCATGAGAACGGTTTCGTGAATACAGGCCAAGGACTCGGGCGTATACCGACATATCCATTTAAATAGTCATGGAGCAGCTTTTTTTCTTTCTTTCTTTTCCACGCTTGTTATCAGACGTGCCCCACAAATGAGAATGAAATGTAAATCTAGAAAACCCAAACCACTTTTTTATATGCAAATTACGTAGCAGGTATCTCACTCTGTGGGTAATGTGGAATCTTACAAAAAGTAAATCCTGGAATCTACGGAAATTATATGAGATCATCATGATATCTAAAAATAGGACAAGTTTCTTGGGATTTCCACGTGTAAACGGCGTATAAACATGTCACAAGAATACAAAGATCACGCGTTAGTCCCAGGTCAAGTGATAACATTCGGTTATTAGTAGGGACACACCTATTTTAAGGCCATGAGATATTGTTTCCATAAAATTTTATGGACCAGACATTAATTCCAACAAAATAAAAATGGGAACGGCGGATAAAAAGATAAATGGATTTTTTAAAATCGTTTTAATATGGTAAAATATAAAACTATATTGAAAAACATAAAGTAAAACGGGTTTTTTAATTTTTATTTCGATATATAATAATTGAAAGGGAAGAAACAATTAAATGTTCAACATTTGTTTTTGTGTGATTTGGAATTGGACATCGTTTTACTGTGGTTTAGCTAAATTTTGACAGTACATAGTCAGTTTATTAAATTGGCAATGAACCCATTATCTCAGACAGAATGAGTTCTTATCACATAAGGCACTATTTTATCCTTAATGAGAAAAGATATTTTTGAAATTAATTTCCTTGTCAAATAAAATATTCTAGATATCTTGATTATATTTCAATTATACTTCTTCTTTCTTCATTAAATGATATTTCAAAACTTCCGCGTTTTGACTAAAACGAATTGAGAAGGCTTTTTTTTTACAATTTTCATAAGTGTCCATATGTCTGTTGTACTTTGTTAAATACGTTTATCGACAAGGGCAAAACCCTTGCACGCTCCAGTTAAATCACTTGTATATATATATATATATCATATGTAGCTGTATTTCACATTACTGACGCAATCCTGTAGGAGTGAGATGTAACACCACCACAAAATAATTCATTGGCTTGACAACGCTTACTCATGGCCATACCTCATGAATATTCAAAGAGTGAATGTAGGTCAACAACCCGTGAAAACTTCCGGTGGTGCAATATCGCACAACCAGAACTAGTACTTAGAAATGAGGTTTGAATCTAAGACAAGAAATACTGTTTTGGAATTTGTTTACAGAATAATGAATGTATGTATTTTAAGGCTTTGTGTTAAAATATTTTAACATTAACAGTAGTCTGATCAGTCATCTTTTTATATATTAGCCTTTGTTCTTGTGCAAGATTTGGTCAGCAGAGGCGAATACTATTTCAAAGTCTAAATACACTGTATGCCAATATAGATTATACTCCCGATATCCTTCTTTGTGGAAACCATAACTTTCCCGTAGACCTTAACGCGGGGATATTTAGAAATATATATTTGTTCATCAAATGCAACAATAGATTTTGATTTATTTTTATATAATAAGTGAGGTAGATTTTTACCTCTAGGAATAAGGAGACCATTTTAAAACGAAACTTGTAGGAAACATATTTCGTGTTTCCTAGTTTCTTGTTTTTTGCCATTATGTTTGTCTTATATAATTTGTGGAGAGGGTTAAAATAACGTTGTAATAACTTGTGCCCAATCTGTTTGCTTGTTTTCTCAGCAATAGATATGTTCAAATCAATTCGATGCAACGCATTTTCAAAGTTGGTCATGGTTTCAAGCTCTTTCTAAAATATTTTTTTCCATCTTCAAATAAAAACAGCATTCTGCTCCCTAAAAATGACAGCAACGAATGAGATATTTTACGATTTACCTGACTACTTAGTTTTGTTTTATTATTATCATTATTATTATCATTAATATTATTATTTTCATCTTTTAAATGCTCAGCTTTGATTTTGCTCTTTAGATATACCAAATAAGTAGTCCGGATATCTCGCTTGACTATGCATAACGTTATGATAACACATGCTACCAATGTACAAAATTACAGAGAATTCTATAATAGAGTTTTATGAATTGAAACCAAGCAATGTGTATACATATGTACCTTGGAAATATCGATGTTCCTGTCGTCGTTTACGCCTAAATACATGTATGTCGTTAATTCATAAAAATACAACATCAGACGAAAATTTCAATTTTTTAATATTGTTCATTGCTTTTAACAGTTATTACATAAATATATCCGTCAATACAATATATATATAGTATACATGTTATAGATAAAGCGATATATTGCACATATTCCTCGCACCTAGTAACTTTTATATATTATTATGCATGAAACACGTAATTTGTAAGATCTTTTTTGTTACCAATATTGCACAATTTACTTGATTTCTAAATATTTTGTTTAAAAACATTTCATCCAAACGGAACAAATCCATATTCTGAAGGGATTTCTACGGAACAGGAACCGTACAAAGACAGAGACACAGAAAGGTCCTTATCAGTCACGTGCCACGTGCAGTTTTCTGGAGAATACACGTACACAGTTTTCAGAGCATTGTCTTCGTTGCGTGTTTTTCCGCCAGCAAAGAAGATACCTTCTTTCTCGGCAAACATTGCAAAGTTTGAACAGCAAACAGGCATGTTTGTACAGATCTCGTGTTGGGATTTTGGATCATACGAGATGAGACGTCCATCACTGCATGCGACAAAAATGTTCTTCTGAAAAACAACAGCCTGTGCCCTTGATACAGCGAATGGAAGGCTTGCTAAAATTTTACATGATTTTGTGTTTGGCTCAAACATTTGAACAACCGCTGTCTCTTTCCCATTGTCTGATATTCCGCCGAGCACGTAGATATTATTTTCATGGGCTACAGTTGTGGCACTATGAACGCCAATTTCCAGGTTTCCAACTATTTTCCATGAATGGCGTTTTGGGTCGAACTCTTCCACTGTTCGAGTCGTTTCTTCTTGGTTACACTGTCCTCCTAACACATATAGTTTGTTCTGAACACATGTCATACAGTGGTGAGATCTACCCTTCACTAGACGTTTTGAACACTTCTTTATTTTGTTCATCACAATGTCACAATGATACACGTCTCTTGAATTTTTCCCTCCTCCTGACAGATACACGTGAGGCGCGTCGTGGTTATTGTTTTGTAAAGAACACACAGCAAATCCTGACCCGACACCTGATAGTTCAGGCAACCGGCATGTCTTCTGAAAATTGCTTCTACAATCATACAAGTGAATGCCAAGAGAGCTCCTGTCTGTTTCATTTTTGGTAAATAGTAACTGGTAGCGGGCAGCTTCGTTCTGACGTCTTGGCTCCAGACTTAATCGCCGGCATAACTTATTGTTTCTAATAAATATTTCACATTCTGTTTGAAGTTGTTTGTGATGAAGCGATCTCGAAATGGCTAAAAATCTGTCCACATTTTTGGAATTAATGCAACCTCGATCCGTAAAACATCCTTCTCTGAAGAATGTTGCTAAAGCCTTACTGGATTCGGCATCGAGGGTTTTGTAAACCCGAGTAGGGTCAGAACTGTTAGCAGGGTGTGAGTACTGTCGCTCCATCATTCCGGGATGTTGGTTTACAGTGGTACACTGGGGCGTTGTATAACCTGGAAGGTCTGTGTGTCTCTGGTTAGTCATGGAGACTTTTATTGAGTCTTCTCTTTCTGTTTCCTGTATAAACGACAATACATAAATTTAATTTCTGTCACTAATATTATGTAAACGGTGTGTCAAGAAAACCAGGAATAACCACAATTATTTTGTGTCTTTATTTTCGGATAAAATATAGGATACTATGCATTCTATGTTTCTCAGTGGCGTTAAGCTGTTCATTTGCAAAGATAAAAATAATCGATTGAAATAGATATATAAAACAAACATACATACAAACATATGGATACCATTAACAATATATACACATTCACAAATTCCATTTTTCCACAGGTAAATATAAATAGATTTTAAAGAAAAAGACCATTACAAGTGGAATATTTATCAAAAGCTACAGTGGTATCAAACATTTCTGCTAAATGTATAGTACCTACCTTTTCGTTTTGTAATTTGTCAATCTGTCTGCTGTTTTCTATAAAACACTGATTTTCTTGAATTATGGTTCCTAACAATGTTGATAGTTAACAATTAGTTGCTCGTATGGTAGACTTTTCTCGTTATCGACCTCATATATACTGTCCCGAAATCTATATTTAACATACATGGGGAATTTCCCGAACCATGACTGTTAGCTAATTTTAGAAGTAGACACCGGGATCCCCTGGCCAGGTTAAGTTCAATGACGCGTCACTTCCATGGTCACATGAAAATATTTAATGTAACATGAATAACCCGACGCAATCTTACTTTTACTTATGGGTGTAGAAGCGAAGCAGCGTGAACTATTTAATGTTACTGTAGGTGTATACACTATGGGTATTGTTTACACTGCTGTATGTCATATTGTTCGCTGGTGGTGAAATACTTTTATCGACGTATTTCCTATCGGATTTTTAGACTTAAAGATATCACTGCCGTGACGTAGATTGGACTCTTTCTGTGTGACTATTCCTATGTATGTGTAGTGAATGAATGACGTTGATTCGTATGTGTATGTGTTAGAATCGCTATGACAAGAAAATAAACACACATATATATAGAGTTCTCAGATTAAACGCTGCGTAGTTTAAAATAAATATCTTTAATTAGCTCGTGCAAACTCTAGTTATTATTACTATAATTTTTATAAACATCATGAGAACTCGCCCCCAAAAATACAAATATTTGAGAATTCAAATTAGATCATGGAGCCTGATCAATTATTTATCACAGTACCTGTATATATGTAGATGTGTATGCAAATGGATTCAAAATCTCGTGTGTTACAACAGACCAAAATTAAACATGCATGTAGTTCAGCTGAAAAATAGCAAAATAACATATAATTCAATACCGCAAGCTGTCCTATAGATGTAACGTTATACCTCAAATGTGCAAGCGTAAGATTTCTGTTTAGTAGATATATTTGCGATATTGACCAAACATTCAACGAGAAGGGGAGATATTTTCTATATTTTTAATTAATATTTACAGTAAAGTACGTCATGTGTACTTGGTATACCCGTCAACAAGCATTAAGGAGATTCTAAAAAAGTCAGCTCGACTATTAGAAAAATAAAAGAAAAACTTTGTAACTTACCATGAAAGAAACACAGAGTTATATGAAATAATGTGTGTGTTCCATAGCATTTTATAAACGATAACTTTCAGAATTTTTAGGTGATGAAGATAATGGAAAACATTTATAAATGTACGAGTTATCAAGTTGGTTATATATTGATGCAATTATCTCTGTTATCAAAATATACTTTAAAGATAGTATATCATTAACGTGTCTGTGTAGTGATTTAAATCGTGCCGGATTTGACGTGGATACATCACTGTTTGTAACCATGGTTTACCGTCTGATGACGCTAAATGGACATTACTCATCCTCAAAATGATCAATATATGTATAAAAAAACAGATAAATAGTAAATCGTGGTGCGAATGAGCACATAGGTCTTTCGACCCCTCCCAATTGACATTTTGACCTACTGAATATCATAGAAAAAATGTACACATTGCTAGCTAAATATGCCTCTTAGGTCACTAACGTTAGAAAAATCCGTGTTAATTGTCTGAAGGTGAAGGTCTCTCTAGCCTACCTACGTCATTGGCGATGTTAATACGTCATCATAACTTAATCAACTAACCGCAGACATTCGATGAGACAGAGATACGGGTGACAATAAGGTTACTGGGGATTTTCAAAACATTTGCATAGTAATGTTTTATCATAAAAGACCCTGGCAAATAAATCTAATTTTTTTGACAATGGATTGTTGAAGATAAAGCCCGTGACCGTTGGTTATTTATAATAAATGACGTTATTTGATATTATTATATATTGAAAGTTACAAAAATCGGCCTTCCTACATTCATTTTTAATCAAGTGTTTTGTATGATGTTAAACGTGAATCGCTTGTTGCAATATAAATACTGTGACCGAGAGGCAACCCGGAAGTTATATTCGAAATAAAACATTTATTTACATTCATGGTGATGATATAAGACTAAATCAACAAAGTCCATGTTAAGTGCTCAACATCTTTAGCATGTTTTTAGAACATCACCAGTGTCCTAAAGTGGCATTCAAACAGTAATAATTATACTCCAACGTCGACCTGCAGGCACTATGTCGGATATTGGACTATCGCACCGGATATGGTTGATACTGAAGATGTTTTGCGGGATAAATTTTGGTCTTTAATTTCCTTTATTGACTCTCCGTGAAAAAGGAAAAACACTATGTTATCGATAAAGTTTTTACAGATAAGACAACATTCAACAACAGGACTAGTTAAATAAAATCTTTATTCTGAATTTTGATATTGTCGTGTAGTGGATTTTATATATTTTTTTTTCAATTAAAAACGATTCAAATTGTTACGAACTGAATGTTGCTATATATGTTTTCTGTCTTTCGACATCGTGTGGGAAATGTTTTTAAATAGTTATAAGTTCATTGTTACTAAACTTTTACTTTCAGAATTTAAAGATAAAATTTTAAGAGAGTTTTTAATTTTCCTAACAAGTAAAATATTTTTCGTGGTATATCTTAAAAACGTATGTTTTAAAAGTATGATAAAGTGATAAAAACCGAATCAAAATAAAACAAAAAAATAATAACTGAAAAAGTTATATCATTAATTAATCGAACATTCTTTTCACTGTATAATATTCTTTCATCACTCCGTCAAAAGTGCAGTAAAAGTGATAGCTAAACGTGATATCCCTGCATCGCATTATGTACATGTATTAAAGACTGTTATGAATAGCTGAGGTAATTATTGTGCATCGCCGTCGGATTGTAATACCACATGTTTGACCAGAACTAGGACATAATTCAATGTAAAATATTTATATATCATAAGTTGAAGTTTTGAATCGTTGGGTGGTTGACAGGTTTTCCGTCTCCTCGGCTCCTCCTATTGTCGGGTATCGTCTCACAGACGAACGTTAGCGTTCTGGCGACATGATGGGGCGATCTGCACCCCCCGTGGAGGGATGGAACCGTCTGTAGCGGTGAACGTTTAATTTTGCTAGTGTTAGGAGACATCTGAAGGACCTAACAATGCCTTATCCTAACTCTAGCCGTTGAACACGTCCAGAAGCTGAAACGAGGACTTGGGGCCTACCTAGATTTGGTTTATGTTCGGGTAACTTTGAAGTCGGTTTAATATGCCTTAAAATAATTGTATAATCTGACACTATCTACCCCTGGGCCGGCGTCATCACGCCTTCTCTTTTTCGTAAAGCCACCGAGGGATCTTTAACGTGTGAAAGTGAACAGTCCTCACACGGGCCTTGATTCAGTTTTTAAGATATGTGTAAGATAGAGCTATACACTTTATCCGAGTATCAAATTAACACGAATCGTAACTTGTCACAAAAAATGCAAACCCAACAAAATAATAATTTTAAATAGTAACCTTGACAATGATACAACACAATTTCTCTAAAAGGTGCATGATAAATCACGGTTAGAAACAAAAATATCAGATTTATCTTCCTGTTTTTTTTTTGGTTGTGAAATTTCATCGAGTATATATGTAAATTTTGCCACAAGGTGACCCTGCCATTCAGGTTAGGTTTTGTAAGCCTTGCGCTACCTGAATAGTATTGTAAAGTGACAAATGTATGTGGATTTTGTGTTTGCCATATGCAAAACTGCGAAAATTTCATCTACTTTTTGCTATTTATGTTATCAAAAGAATTATTCTTTCCCCAAGGACACCTTCTAGAATGTCTTTACGGTAAAAAAACCCAAAACAAAACAATTTAAAAAAACTAAGGTGTTTATGTTTTACCTAACGCTATGCTGCAGAATAGATTTTGTTCCAAACCATCATTGACAATGTTTATACCGACAACGAATATTTCTTGATTATTTCCATCCTTTGATTAAAATCATGTGTTTATCACTAAATATGTGTCACACACAATCTTTTAAATCTGGCTAATATACCACAGTGTGGTTACTTTGCTTTAAAAAACGGACGGTGTTAATTTTTTTTTCTCAATTCCATCTCTTAGCAGTAAGTTCTACTAATATGTGAAGGATTTCATGGTTCAGTTTTGTGTTTGATAAAGCAACTACAACTACACACCCATATAATATTTTACTGTAGCGAACGCAAAAACTATTAGGAAGTACATTTACAGAAAGTGATTGTAACCTTGGAGCATAGAGGATGTTAAATACGAACTTTATACATAATTATATTGAGAACTACAAAATGTTGTTACTAAATTGTATTTAGCTACAAAAAGCTAAACCGGCCTTTAACAAGGTCTCCTATCGAGCACAGTATGATTGATTTCTTCATCAATCATCATGCATTTTTTTATGAAAAAGATTTAGGTACAATTGTATAAGTCTCATTGTAAGGGGCCGTTGTCTTAGAATTTTAGTCTATATTGAGTAACCTTCACTTCTATTCTTGACTATTTGAATTATGTAATAGATCGATATTGATCCGTGTGTTACTACTTATGAATGATTCTTAATAGATATAACATGGGGATCCTAATTGTATGATGTAATGATGTATTAAATAACTCGCGTTTTTCAACATTCTTTATTTCACATGTGAACAGAATTATAATTCAAAACTCCAATTCAGTGAAATTATGTAATATATGAACAAACGAAATGTTTACACGGAGTCTCCGGGAAAAGTACAAGGGTTTAAGACCCGGTGTTACTGATTAGTCAGCGTCTTCCACTTCATCGACGACACCCGTAAATCTTGCATTGTCCAAGTAAGTCTACTTTTAATAGCGTATTTCAGAAAATATACACGTTCCTGGCGTTCTTTTGAAATCATTCAATATTTCAATTTATAAAATATATTGACCTTTTGGTTAAGGTCATCCGCTAGCCAGGTTTTTGCTATTTATTTTGACAAAAATTGTATCTTCAACACTCCCTTTATTTAGTCGCCAATAACATCACTGACGTGTCCTA